GCCTACATATACACTCACCTACACACACACTCACCTACACACCCACACAACACTCACCTACACATACACTCACACACACACACACACTCACCTACACACACCTACACACGCTCACCTACACACACACAACACTCACCTACACACACACTCACACACACACACACTCACCTACACATGCTCACCTACACACCCAGACATTCACCTACACACACAACACTCACCTATACATACACTCACACACACACACACCTACACACGCTCACCTACACACACACTCACCTACACACCCACACAACACTCACCTACACATACACTCACACACACACACACTCACCTACACACCCACACAACACTCACACACACAACACTCACCTATACATACACTCACCTACACACGCTCACCTACACACCCACACAACACTCACCTACACATACACTCACACACACACACTCACCTACACACACACAACACTCACCTACACACACCTACACACCCACACAACACTCACCTATACATACACTCACCTACACATGCTCACCCACACACACACTCACCTACACACCCACACAACACTCACACACACACTCACCTACACACCCACACAACACTCACACACACACTCACCTACACACGCTCACCTACACACACACTCACCTACACACACACTCACCTACACACCCACACAACACTCACCTACACATACACTCACACACACACACTCACCTACACACACCTACACACGCTCACCTACACACACACACAACACTCACCTATACATACACTCACACACACACACACCTACACATGCTCACCTACACACACACACACACACAACACTCACCTACACATACACTCACCTACACACGCTCACCTACACACCCACACAACACTCACCTACACATACACTCTCACACACACCTACACATACACACACACTCACCTACACACGCTTACCTACACACACACTCACCTACACACCCACACAACACTCACACACACACTCACCTACACACCCACACAACACTCACACACACACTCACCTACACACACACACAACACTCACCTACACTCACACGCATACACACACACTCACCTACACATACACTCATCTACATACACACACACACACCTACACATACACTCACATACACACAGCGATGAGAAGGCCCTTTCCCTATGGATGGCTCCCAGCTGTCAGCGGGGCACCTGTTGCCCAAGGGGAGGCGACAGCTCTCCTCTCACCAGGAGTGGTCAGCACCCAGTTCTGACGATGAGATGGGAGAGAAGTGGTCTACACAATTGCAGTCTTTTGTTTGTTTTTAAAATTAAATATATTGGGGTGACATTGGTTAGACATCAGTCAGTTTCAAGTGGACATTTCTATGATACATGATCTGTATATTGCATGGTGTGCCCACCACCCGGTCAGATCATCTGTCACCATATAGTTGGCCCCTTCCCCTCTCCATCCCTAGCTCCTTCCCTCTGGTAATCACCACACTGTTGTCTGTGTCTGGTCACACACATACACTCACCTACACACACACTCACCTACACACACACACACTCACCTACACACACGCTCACCTACACACACGCTCACCTACACACACGCTCACCAACACACAATTATCTACACACTCACCTACACACACACACACTCACCTACACACACGCTCACCTACACACACGCTCACCTACACACACACACACACACACACACACTCACCTACACATACACTCATCTACACTCACACACTCACCTACACACACACACACACATACTCACCTACACATACACTCATCTACACTCACACACTCACCTACACGCACTCATCTACACATACACTCACACCTACACACACACACATACTCACCTACACATACACTCAGTCACATACTCACCTAAACTCACGTATACACTCTCACACACACACATACTCACCTACACATACACTCAGTCACATACACATACTCTCTTACACTCACATACACTTACCTACACACACACAGCCTACACACACCTTCATTTACTGGGAAATTGAACCAGATTTGCCTGATTAGAAAGAAAAATAGTAAGGAAAATCAATAATTAAGACTAACAGAAGAGCTTAAAAATGCCAACCTCACGAGCGGTTCAGGGTAAGAGGAGCTCGGAGGTGGCAGAGGCCGTTGGTTGTTTCCTTTCCTTCATAATGAAGTCGTGCTAACATAAACCAAAAACACAACTGGCACCAGAATACACGTCACTCGTGACTAGCTATAAAGCAGGCCTTTCAAATCAGCGCTGAGCTAACGCTTTTAGAACAATTATTTAATTTTCAGGATCCAGCATCTGTCAAGTAAATCACCAATTTCCGTTTAATTCTTGTTTAACGTGGAAGGTTGGGTCAGCGCCCAGCCATTCCCAGCCGCCTTTACGTGGGGCGGGGCAGGGGCGCGGGCCGTGCACCTCCAGCTCGCTCCTCTGCCCAGCGGTGAAGACCACAGCCGGCGCTTCCTCGTGAGTTTGGTCCCCCCGCAGCTCAGCGGGTTTTTCACAAGTGACTCCAAGGCTGAAATGTCTGTTCGTGAGGAGGTTGGCTGAGAGCCAAGAAACATATTTCCTAACCAACTATTGATGTGAAGGAATCACCAGCTTAGGTATTAGCACATTTCTGTTAACAACCAGCTTTTCCTGCACTAACTGGCAAGCTGGGTCTTCTAACAGGGAACGCAGACCTCCACACGCCTCCAGGGGAAGTCAGTCCTGCCATTGCTGCAGCGAAGCACTTCCCAGGAGGGCACGTAGCTGTGCCAGCAGACAGACGGGCCGGCTGTGAGGGGGCTGCGGAGTGTTGGCTGCTCGGAGGCCCAGGCGTGGGGCTGCGCGCTCACCTCCAGGCGCAGGCGGCGGGCGAGCTGCCAGCTGGTCTGGGTCCCAGCCCCGCGCTGCTCTCCTGGCAGGTCAGGCGGGTCCCGCTTCGATGTCTCTGACCCTTGGCCTCAGCGGTTACAACGGGAAAGTGCTGTCCTCCGCCCTCGGGGAGAAGGCCTGGCCCCCACACCCTCTCCGTCTTGCCCACTCACCCACACACTCACCTCGGCCTCTTCCCTGCAGGCCTGACATGGCCAACAAGCGCTCAGCCCAGCAGCAACCCTGCGCCATCAACGCTGTTCTGTCGATCGGGCTTGGGAACACGCTGGTTACTCTGGAGCTCACTCACCAGGAATTTACACAGGAGCGCCCGCCGTCACTATAGCGCCGGTTCCGATGGCCAGGACCTGAGACTCCAGGTGCCCACCGACCGGTGAGTGAATAAAGATGCGCATATACATCATATATGTGCACACACACACACAACGGACCATCACTCAGCCACAGAACAGAATGAAATCTTGCCATTTGCGACATGGATGGACCGTGAGGGCATTATACGAAGTGAAATAAGTCAGAGAAAGACAAATCCATCTGACCTCACTTACATGTGGAACCTAAAACAAACAAACAAAAACAAGGACACAAAGAATAGGCTGGTGGCAGCCAGGGCTGGGGTAGACACGGGTGAAGGGAAGGGGTCAAAGGGTAAAAAGAAAAGTAAAACAACACCTGAATGCCAACTGTCAACTTGTCCAAAAAGAAAAAAAGGTTTGTCTTTCAAGAAAAGTGTGAATATACTAGTCAGTTACGATGGCCAGGACGGTAAATAGAAAGCGAAGTATGTAATTGTAAGACAGAGCCACGCCCAGGCAAGAACAGTCCTGCCCGCCTCTGAGCCCCTTCTGTACGTAACACCTGTACCCACCATGTTCTCGGCAAAAACATCACTGAAGGGATGGGAGTCCTTTACCGACGTCAGCGTGTTCGTATGCAAAGGTGTCGTCTCGCAGTGACTGCGAGTGTTTGACGCTCAGAGCTGACGCCTGGGAAGGCAGAGGGTCAGGAACTGAGGACGATGACGGGGTGCCCCTGCCCCCCGCCGTGTGGGGGCCAAACCTCAGCCTGATGCCGACCAGAAAGCAGGCGGCGACCCCTCTGGGTGCAGCTGCCTCTTTGGAACCAGGAGGGAGGCGGGGCCCGGCTACTCAGGGGACATTTCGAGGTGTCATAACGTGGGCAAGTACCACTGGCACCTAGTGGCAGAGGCAGAGGTGCTGCGACGCCTCCCGAGGCCCAGGGCAGCTGCCAGAGCTCTCCGCCCAGCGTCAGGCAGGACACAGCACCCGCTCCACCCGCTCACGCCTCCCCTCTTCTTGGAAACGGGCGATGGGAGGCGCGGGGTGAACTGCGGGCAGCACCACCAGTGTCATCAGACGGACTCGGCCGTCCAGCTGCACCTGAGAAGGGGCTCAAAGTCATCAGATGCAGGTGTGGCCAGGGGTTCCCAGGCGGGGCCCTCAGGCTGCTTCCTGTGATGCCACAGAACCATCCCCCCCCCCCCCCCCCCACACACACATATGCAGTCTCAAATCTGAACTGTCCAGACTCCGCTTGGAAAAAAACTACTTGAGACCCCAGGTGCTCCGGCCGGTGAAGAACGGACTCAAAGTTAAGAAATACACTGGGGAGGGGGTCTGGGCAGCAGAGCTCGGACCTGGGATACACGAGTCCAGAGGCCAGCTTGTGGGACAGGGGCTGTGCAGTCACCCAACTGCTTGGACAAGGAGGGGTTATGAAACAAGTCTTGTTCGCCGGATTTAGTTTTCCCCAAACATAAAAGAAGAGTTCTATAGAGGTTGACTGGTCGCTTTTATTGCAAAGTAATCCAAGTAAGAAATTTCTGCATCTTTAAAATCAACATTGAGCCCCAACACTGGCTCAGTGGTTCGTGTTGGCGCACAGACTGAAGGGTCACAGGTTCAAGGGCACGCACCTGGGTTGCAGGCTCTATCCCCGGCCTTGGGGTGCGTGCAGCAACCAATCGATGTGTCTCTCTCACATCCATGTTTCTCTCTCTCGTCTCTCCCCCTCCCTTCCACTCCCCTAAAAATCAATGGAAAACATATTCTTGGGTGAGGATTACCAAAAATTAAAAAAATAGCCCTCGCTGGTGTGGCTCCATGGATAGAGCGTTGGCCTGTGGACTGGGTTCGATTCCGTCAACGGCATGGACCTCAGTTGCAGGCTCAATCCCTGGCCCTGGTCAGGGCGCATGCAGGAGGCAACCAACCGATGTGTCTCTCACACCCATGTCCTCTCACTCGTCTCCCTTCCCCTTTCTCTAAAAGTCATGGAGCAAGTGATACTCTGGTGAGGATTAGCATAAGCAAGTAAATAAATAAATAAATAATAAGTAGATAAAATGAACTCTGAGCGACCCGGGCCACAGACGTCTTTAAATCGGTACGGACATCACTGGCATAAGTACCATCCAGCCCTCGCCATTTTCCATGTAGGACTAATCACTGTTCCCTTGTAATAGTGTCTAAAAACCATGGCAAACTGTTTCATTTACACACACACACACACACATAGAACATAAGCACAGAAAAGGGTGGAGGCACCAAGTTAGCAATGGTTTTCCACAAGCAGATGAATTTCTGTAATAAATATTTTTAAAACCCATTATATACCATCTACACCAATAACTATTGGGCAAATAAATGCTGAGGGAAAGGCTAGAAGGAAGTGAACCCAAGGCAGCCATTCGCTCCTTCCTTACTGTCCACCCCAGGGGCGCGCATGGCCCGGCCTGGCCGCTTCTCCTCGGGGACAGACATGCTTCGTCGAGAGCCCTGCTTGCTGACCGCGTGGCAGGCGACGGGTCAGGCTGGCGGAGCGTCACCCGGGCGGGTGCTGGCAGAACCAGGTATGTGTTCTAACAGGTGAGCCTGAGAGATTCGCTCACTTCTGAAGCAACATCGAAAAGCCCTGAGGCTTCCCCTGCCCCGTGTAACACTATTTTTTAAGCAAATTCTTAGAAAAATTTTATTATAAGCTTTTCTATCACCTTCAGCATCTTAGCCTAAGTAACATATACTTTTGAAGAGTATTTATGGGCATCTATCTAATGTGACTTAAGTAGCCTTAGTCTTCTGTGAGAACGGGTTTGGGGGAATAAAAAGGCACGTGGGCGCGAGGCGGGCCTGCGTCCCGGACACTGAGGCCCTGCACAGGTCCGTTCCCAGGCGAAGGAGACGCATCTTCACAGCCGTCTCTCCCACTGGCTTTCTTCTGCTTTTCTCCCGCGAGTTTCTCCGCGCGCTCCTCCAGGAGCCGCCGCAGCCACGGCTCGCACCGGCTGGCCTGCTGCAGCCCGTCCTCCCTGCCTACAAGGACAGGGGAGGCAGGTGACGGCAGCCCCAGCCCCAGCCGCAGCCGCTCCCGCACGGCAGGTGCTCTGCTCCCCACAACCCGCCGAGCACCAACCCCGAGGCCAGGTCTCATTCCAAGGGCTCAGGTGACCCCCGTCCTGGCACCTTCGCAGCGCAGCGCCCACCTCGGCAGCTCCCACCTCGGCAGCGCCCACCTCGGCAGCGCCCACCTCGGCAACCCCTACCTCGGCAGCTCCCACCTCGGCAGCGCCCACCTCGGCAGCGCCCACCTTGGCAACCCCTACCTCGGCAGCGCCCACCTTGGCAACCCCTACCTCGGCAGCGCCCACCTTGGCAACCCCTACCTCGGCAGCGCCCACCTCGGCAACCCCTACCTTGGCAGCACCCACCTTGGCAACCCCTACCTTGGCAGCACCCACCTTGGCAACCCCTACCTCAGCAGCGCCCACCTTGGCAACCCCTACCTTGGCAGCGCCCACCTCGGCGGCGCCCACCTCGGCAGCGCCCACCTCGGCAGCCTACCTTGGCAGTGCTGGATCACGCGGCCCCACAGCCGGCTCCTCCGCAGACAAGCCAGGTGCCCCACGATCAGCAGGTGCCGCCTCCCACGGGTCAGGGCCACGTTCACGCGCTGCTCTGAGTCGATGAAGCCCACCTGCCTGGTGCGCACACAGGACAGCACGACCACCTCCTTCTCGGCCCCCTGGAAGGCGTCCACGGTGGACACCTGCACGGCCGCGAGCTGCGGGCGGTCCAGGTCCACGGCCCCGAGCAGGTGGCACAGCTGTGGGGAGAGACGGGTCACGCATGCAAGGGCCGCGGGGACGCGGCTGAGCCCTCCCAGTGCGTCTTCACCGGAGTGGAAAAGCCGCTGTCTTCTGTGACGCGCACGGCTCTGCCCGGTTCTACAGCATGGGCGCAACTAGGTGACAACATCCATCGTGAAACAACGAGTAACGGTTCATCTGTTGGGGGAGCTCATTTGAATATGCTAATTTAGGGCTGATTAACAATGAAAAGTACTAAAAAGTTAAAAATTAACAAAAATGTTATAAGTAATGGACTGATATGTACATGAATATCTGGTGTCTATTTTTATTTACTGATAAAAGGTAATAATGAGAGAACAGTTTGGAAAACAGATCCAATCCCATCTGTCCCAAAACACAAAGCACACACCACATTTCCTTCCCTCTAATTTGTTTATTTGCATTTTTGCCCCAACAGCTGTAAACGGAATTTCATTAAACCTTGTTAGGTTTACATTTAATTATACAGAAAAAAAGCCAGACAGACAAAACTCAGAATGCTTCTTTCTGAATGCATTAATTATGGTCCCAAAAGGTTTTAAAGCACCCAGTCAACCCCTTACAAATATAACATCAAGCGCTGTGATAGGAAATGATAGCATCTGTACACGGCGGGGGGGGGGGGGGGGGGGGGGGAGACACAAACCTTGCCCAGCTGGGACTTGTACAGCGTTATCACCCCGATCATGGTGCCTGGGATTCCACCTGCAACCAGAGCTCGAATCAGCGTCAGGGTGAAAGCGGCTTCCGCCTCATTATGAAAGCTGTTACCTCCTTCCATCTGGAACGAAAAACAGACCCAGAATTACATTTCCCGGAAAGGCGAGGAGGACGAGAACATAGCACCACATACCACAGAGAACAGGACGGGGCTGTGCTGGCCCCGCTGGACGGCACTCGCCTGCTCCTGCCCCGGGACATTGTAGAAGCACAGGGTGGGCAGCCAGGTGAGCAGCGGGCCCCTCTCGGCCTCCGAGACGCCGTTCCTCAGGCCACCTCCGTAAAACAGGCCGTTAGCCACAGCGGCGATGGCCGGGTGACAGCGGTACTGGGTTCTCAGCAGAACTGGCTTGTGACCCTAAGAAGTTTAAATGAGCAAAAGTAAGAACCTGAAACAGCACTTTTTTCTTAAGGGAAAAAAGGTATTTTAAAAGTCGGAAGTATTGCCGTATTGTGCTCTGACTACATGAATTAGAAACACAATAGTAAATGGTTTAATTACTAAACTATTCTCCTGGTAAATGACCACACACCACAAAATCATAAAGTATTAAACTGTCAAACCTTAACTCATGATCTAACAAGCAGGGTGAGGAAACCTTCACCTGGACCTCCCGCCCGCCATGACCCATCCCTTCGCCCAGCAGGTCCCCCTGTGGACACGGCCCACCCACCAGTCAGTCAGCCTGGGACCCGATAGGCTGTCAGTGTCACTGGGCTTGTGTTCACGTCACCCCGTTTTCCTAATAAGGGCCCCAAAGCACAAGATGCCGGCCACCTGAAGATGCCAGAGGAGCCATACAGCGCGGGCGTGTGCAGGAACAGACAGTGCACGTAGGGCTCCTGTCGCAGCTGCAGGCCGCCCTGGGGTCTGGGCGTGCCCCTCGGATAAGGGCGGCCAGCATGGAACAGTACGGACACGTGCTACAATGTGGAGGGGCCTCCAGGACGTGCCGAGTGGAAGAAGCCAGACCCAGGAGGCACCCGTGTGTGGTTGGAGCTGCCTGGTGTGAGGGTGGTGAGTGTGAGCACAGAGCAGACGTGGGGGCCGGAAAGAGGGAGGTGGGAGGCGGGATGTGTTTGGGACCAGACAGGGCAGGGAGTGTAGTGACGGCCACTTACGTTGCGGTGGCTAATTCTATGTTATGTGAACATCACCTCAGTTACAAATAGATTAATGATTAACTTTTTACATTTTTAATGTAAAGTAGAGCTCTAAAATGGGGCATGGATAATAATAGATCATAGGTGTTTATTTTTATTTTAGAACAAAAGCTTTATACTTTCTTCCTACTAAGTACACAAGAAAAAGGCTCATTTTATAAAGGAACACTTAAATCGTGGGGTTCTACTTATCTTTAAGATGAGTGCTCTCTTTATTTTTATATATATTTTTATTGATTTCTGAGAGAAGGAGGGAGAGGGAGAGAGAGAAGCATCCATGATGACAGAGAATCGTGGATGGGCTGCCTCCTGCACGCCCCCCACTGGGGATTAAGCCTGAAACCCTGGCCTGTGCCTGACGGGGATGGAACCGGGACCTCCTGGGTCAGAGGTGGGCGAGGTGAGTGCTTCCTAAACAAGTCCAATCGCAGGTCCTTTAGGGCGGGGCTCGGTCTCCTAATAGTGTCATTTCCCATCGGCCACACGGTGTGGCCGGACGCGGTCAGCCCGGGTCTGGCGGCAGCGCCTACCATCAAGCAGAGTCGATCGAACAGAGTCTGCTCCAGCCCGTTCCCGTGAGCCGCCTCCGATCCCTGGATCGTGGGGGGAAGCTGCTTGGGATCCCCAACGAGAACCAGCTTTTCACACTCAAACCTGAACACAGATCCAGAAGTTAGACAGGAAGCGCAGACGGACACGGACTGTTTTCTAAATGCATTTCAAAGAGCTCGAGGACCCCGCGCTCCAGGAAACAGGCTTCGTGGTGCCAGTCAGTGTAGTCAAAGGCCGCGGCTGTGAGTGGAGAAACCCCTGGTATAACTGTATTTTCCACACAAGCCTTCCTAGCGTCCCCTGCTCTGCACACAATCAGCATGTCATGGAACGCGCTTGGGGAAAGTGATTTTGGAACCTATAACTGCAGGCTCAGGAGCGTTCCTTGGGAATAATTTGGTTTAAACTCCTGCAAGGAAGTAGGCTCTCGGGCTTAATGTCTTTCCAAATAGAAACCTGCAGTCTTGTAAGGTCTCAGAACCATGTATGTGGTCACTCAGATGACCACAGTCTGTCTGTCACACATATTTGGCCCCGCCCAGAATTCCTGCTCACACCCTGGAAACCCTGGGAGTTTCCCAAGTGGTGACAGGGATCAAGGTCCTCGGTTGTGTCTAAGGGACCTTAGCCGAGCACCTGAGGCGGGGCTGGTTGCCAGGGGAACTGGGGTTGGAGAGATGGAGCTTCTAGTCCCCACCCCCTGCCCACCCCCAGGGAGTTGACTGGGTCCCCAGTGGTCAGCGAGCTCATCAGTCACGTGCAGGTGACAAACCTCCATGGAAACACGAGGGTTCAAGGCTGGGGGGTGGTAAGCGCGTGGAGGTGTGAGGAGGTGAGAGACGGTTTGGAAGCTCCTGCCCTCCCTCACACCTTGTCCTGGCACCAATGCCTCTGGCTGTTCCTAGTGCCATAGTGACCTGGGGTCAGGAAACAACATGTTCCTCTGAGTCTGCAAATGCTCTGGCAAGTTAACGGAACCCAAGGAGATGAAGGGAACCTCTGGTTATGGCCAGTCGGTCAGAAGTCCAGGTGCCAGCCCAGGCCCGGGACTGGCACTGAGCGGGAGGGGCCCGGGAACCTCCGTCTGCACCCAGTGGGTCAGCAGCCCAGGCCTGGCCCTGGCGTCGGAAGTGGGTCTTGCAGGACAGCCCTCCCCTGAAGCTCTGACGCTGCCTGCGGTGAGCACGTCAGAACTGAGGGGAGCTTTTGTCCCCCAGCTGGTGCGGGAGAACGGCTTGCTGGAGGGGTGGGGAGCCCCGCCCCATGTAGGAACTGGTCTGGGAACCCCTATTGCAAAACCTACATGGCATCCCAGCTCTAGGACCCCTACGGATGCACACGGCAGGTTATCTACTCTGCGCGTCAGTACTCATCAGCGACCTGGACGTGCCCATGCCGGCGTGGCTGCGGTGAGGACGTAAGGAAGCACATGGGTGATGTGTCAGCATCCAGTGTGACTCCTCCACCCTCTGTGCACGGCCTTAGCGCTCCTCTGCCCTGGCTCCTGGGTGGGGAGACTGACTCATCCTCCTTTGCTCAGGACAGTCCCAGTGTAACAGTGAGAGCCCAGGATGCAGGAACCTAACTCATCCCAGCCAATCGTGATGCAGGAACCTGCCCATCCCAGCCAATCGTGATGCAGGAACCTAACTCATCCCAGCCAATCGTGATGCAGGAACCTGCCCATCCCAGCCAATTGTGATGCAAGAACCTGCCAATCCTGGCCAATTGTGATGTAGGAACCTGCCAATCCTAGCCAATCGTGATGCAGGAACCTAACTCATCCCAGCCAATCGTGATGCAGGAACCTGCCCATCCTGGCCAATTGTGATGCAGGAACCTGCCAATCCTGGCCAATGGCGACAACTGGGACCGACGCCCCCCTCACTTGGGGACAGGATGCTGAGTCCAAATCCAGGCCTCCTCCCGCCACCTCGGGATTCGTGAGAGATGCTTTAAAAGCACAATGTTTCAGTGGCTGAGACAGTTTAGAAGATTTCATCTCCTACACTTTAAAACAAATTGTCATTTTTTATTTATTTTTATCTACGTGATATCCTTCCATAATCTAAAAACTATCTTCAGAAACTAGACATGGGAGTGAGACGAAGGAGGCAACTGAAGCAGAGCCTAGAGCCGGGTTCCCAGATGGTGGCTAGAGGCACCTTCCACAGCGAGCAGCCGGGGGTGCTAGGGGCACCCTCTCGAGAGCCGTCCTCCGGAGGCCTACATGCCCCCGAACAAAGTGCTGGCACATGAGCCCCCCAGGCCCCCCCTGCATTCTTGAAAACGTCAGTGTGGCACTTGAATTGCCAAGGTTTCCACCAGAGCCTGGGAGGAGTGACGCGAGCCGGGCCCTGAGTTACCTGGCGATGGGGAGGAGGGAGGCGGGCTCGGTCATCTGGCTGCTCTCGTCCAGCACCACCACGGGGAACCGCAGGCCGGCCATGCAGGGGAACGGGCAGGCCGCGCAGGTGGCGCCCACCACGCGGACCTGGGCACAGGGATGTGAGAGTCGTCAGCTACTTAGAAAACATGAGCCTGCAGGTGGGGTCAGGACTAAAGGCGGGAGCCCTGCAATCAGAGCCCACAGGCCACTATGTCCACTTGCCACTGTCCCCCGAGAAATGGGAGCCACAGGCACAGCGACCGAAGACAGCCTATTGCAGAGTGAAGGCTCCCTCGGACACTCACAAGGAAGCTGTCATGATGCCAGGATCTTAAATGTCAGGGGTCACACGCACGTTTTATCCCCTCGCTGAGGCTGAGTAAGCGGATGCCCTGGGCACGCGGGCGAACGGACCCGCTCACCGCCAAGCACACGCCCAACTTGATGCGCCAAGAAGGAAAAGTCGCCAAGTCATTCCAACAGCAGTACGGCCCATGCACTGCTGGTTGTGAGTTTATGTGAACCTCACAGGCTTAGATATTACCCCAGAATACCATTATTCCCCAGACAGAAAGCCTGATCAAAGCTAGTATTTCATCTCTGGGTCTAAATATAACAAAGAGGAAACCAATACATTTTCTAATTGGATGTGGTCACTGGCCTCCATCAGCAGGAATAAGAGGAACCTGAGGTTTCTGGGAACTCAGACCAAGGTCAGGCTGGTCCCTCCCCCCGCCCAGCAGGTCCCTCACCTGCCCCAGGAGCGTCCTATTGGTCCCCAGTTTATGCTGCTCGATGCTTCTCCTCACATAGACTCTTTCCATGGGAGTCAGGTCTTCTTTCATCAGCGCCTGGAGTTCTTTCAATTGCTCACTGGCATTTTCTGAGCCAGCATGCAAGCTAAGAAAGAACGACATAAAATACCTTCTTCGCTCCATTTCCAAAACATTACAAAAAAGTTAAAAACAGATTTCCTAAGTTAACCAGGAAAAAGACAGCGCTTTCTCTATTCTTCCTCAGAGAACATCGGGGGGAGGAGGTCTGTAAGGCTGCTGTGTTCTGAGAGCACCCTATGGCTTTGGAATTACGATTTCTTACCTGTAAGGTAAGACCGGCTTGGCGATCTTCCTAACACTCCCAACTCTGACAAACTTGTCAAATCCAAGACTGAGGAGCCTTTAAACAAAACAGCGTAAGACAGTTCCATGTAATATTTACGTTATTAACATTAACTTTGTGTAACAGCATCTTCTAGTTTTGTAATTCAATGTGAAATGCTTACATTCAATGTAAATGCAATGTGGCTGAGAGTTTTAATAGAACGCATTTGCTAGGGGCCTTTAATACGCACTCTCACGCCGGGAGCGCATTACCTGTGCCTCAGAGAGCCTTCACGAAGGGCAAGCTCGCACAGTTTATTCCGATCTGTGATTCCAGGCCGAGAACTTTTTCCTCAGAGAAAATCAGAATCGGAGACAGACTTACGTCTGAGGGTCCTTGCCACCGTGTTATTTATCATGGGGAACGCGTGGATGCACTGACTATGGCTTAAAGGATGATCTAAGCAAGTCACTGCCTATAGCAGACCCATCAAAAGTATGTTTTCTAAGATTTAAAAGCAAGACACAAATACATACTGATCACACCAAGTTTGGAAAATAAAATGAGTGTATGTATAAAACACCTGTAAGGAAATATATTACCTGTACAGACCGTACATTTCACCATAAAGTTCAGTTTTTGCGCCTGCATTTATACATAGGAGTCACTTCTCCTAATCGAGCTTTTTGCTGATGCTGACATTCAGACCATTAAACGCTGGCGACCCTCACGTCATCTCTTGTGAGGCTTCAGCAGAGCCGTGAACAACCCCAAGCACCTGCAGCAGGCCCTGCCCCTGCTTCCTCAGAGCCTCTCACGGGACCAGAGGCGTGCCTCGAGCTGCTCGGCTCTGCACCGTCAGCTCACACACCTGCACCTCAGCTCCTCCGGTCACAGAACCGGAGAGGAGGGCTTTCGCACACGGCACCGGAGCCAGCACAGGCATCGCGTCGGCACTGGTTCCCGCCGGCCCCGAGTCCCATGGAGGGGCAGGGGTGTCCCGAGGGAGCCCGCACATGCAGCAGCCCGGGCTGTCGGAGGAACAGGAGCGTGGGGACCCACGAGGTTACGACATGACAAGCAGTGGGCAGGCTCTCTGTCCTGGAGGGAGGCCCCAGCCCCTCAGTCAGGGTGCGGGCGGCTGGCACGACCCTGAGCCGAGGCCTGTCTGGGGTGGGAGAGGTCAGGGCCCCGAGCCCACCTCTCAGACAGGTGCCTCCTGCTGTGCTCGCTTCCACACAAGCGGACATCCTGTCCTTGTGCCAAGGCTGTCAGGTTTGAAACCCATTTCCTACAACTTACAAGCGAGGAAGGTGGCCGGTTACTGTCTCATGGATATGGCTCGATCAGAGACAGAGGCCTCACACCTGGGCCCAAGAAGATGGCCCCTCTCAACAACCGACCTGCACCACCAGCTCCTGACGCTCACGTGTCATACCCACCCGAGGAGGACTCTGTCCACAGCCACGTTAGTGGAAGAAGAAACCAGCACTTTCCACGGCCGTGCACGTCCCGCTGCGGGAGCGTCACTCTTTTCAAACAGCTGCACCAGAAACAGAATCACCACTGCCAGCAAGTAGCTCTTTCCTGCTCCAAAAACTCCTAGTTTGGAAGGAAGGGAAAAACAAAGGGGGCGTCATCAGTACATTTCTGAAAGCACAAGAAATAATGTCACCATCTCCCTCTCCTTCTTGTAACGAAGTCATTACAAGACCATGAGCAGAGCACCCAGGATGTGCTCAGCACCAGGACAAACAGATGGCCAAGCAAGACCTCTCAGCGCAGTGGTTCTCAACCTTCCTCATGCCGCGACCCTTTAATACAGCTCCTCATGGTGTGGTGACCCCCAACCATAACATTATTTTCATTGCTATTTTATAACTGTAATGTTGCTACTGTTATGAATCGTAATGTAAATATCTGATATGCAGATAAAGTCTCATTGTTACAAATTGAACATAATTAAAGCATAGTGATTAATCACAAAAACAATATGTAATTATATATGTGTTTTCTGATGGTCTTAGGTGACCCCTGTGAAAGGGTCGTTCGACCCCCAAAGGGGTCGCGACCCACAGGTGGAGAACCGCTATCTTAGTGGCTTAGGAAGGCAGCCAGGGAAGGAACAGTAAGAACAGGACACGTGGGGGGGAAGTGGCCAAAGGGGTCGAACAGTGTGAAGGGAGGAAACTGGCCTCAGCACAGATGGCGTTACCACCTGTGCCCCCGAGACTGTGGTGCTGTTCATGTTGCCCCAGTACAGTCAGTAAATAGTGAACGTGGTGAGGACGCTGTGACTGCGTCCGAGAAGGAACCCCGCTCAGATCTGGTGGAGGTGGGAACGCTTCCGACAAACAAGCGGAACGAATGTGTCCAGAGGAAGACACGCAGACGCTGAAAGCCAAGGTCCCTCCAGCAGAGGCTGGAGAAGCTCGCAGGCCAGAGGCAAGGCTGAGAGGGAGGCGAGGGCAAGTCCCAGAGTTCTGCTCACTGTCGGAGAAATAAATTTTGTCCTGGAGACGGGCAAGTCCCTGACGGATCTTAAGCAAGAAACTGACTTAATCAGAGTGTTCTGGTAAAACCAGTTGAGCGGAACTATGAAGTGTGAATCCTGAGAAAGAAAACAGCTACTAAGAAGTGCTCCTGGTGGCCAACTGGCTCAGAAAATGAAAAGAAATAAAGAAAAGAGCCTGGCAGCCATTTCTACAGAGGCCTCACATGCACCCTGCCCTTCGGGAAGCAGCCGGCCCGGGACCACCGGCCTGCACTGCCCGCCTGCCTGCCTGGCCCTGCATCTGCCCAGCCCTTAGGAAGTTCTTCCTGGTGTCCATTTCAACCAATAGGACTGAGGCTCTCCCCATCCCATCAGAGCTGAGCAGCTCTGACCAACCAGTGTGGCTCTACTCTGACCCATCAGGACAGTGCCTTTTGGACCAATCACACTTTGAGGACTTGGAGTTCTCATTTGCGTAAGAAAGAATCAATCAGGGGCCAGGGGTGGGGGTTCTGTCCAGGAAGTCACTTTCCCTCTGGCTCTGGGAGCCCCTTTCCCTTTCCACCCAGCGCTCCCTGACCAGCAGCCCCGGCTGAGCCGAACCAGACGATGTCGCAGGGAGCAGAGCAGCCGCGCCCGAGGGCCTGGCCCAGGGCCGCCTCAGGGTCACTGTCCTCACAGCCGAGCGGTATAGCCATTGAGCTGTTTTCCCCGAAGGAAGTCTCCTTCTCCCTCGCACCCCAAAGTGGGGATTCCTGTGGGCGCTGAATTGGTGCCGACGACCATGGGTTGACAGACGGTGAAACTCACGGTGAACTGATTCGAGCAGCGTGAGGCGACCATGGCAATGACATGCCCTCTTTACCACATGCCAGGACGGGCCAAGCCTTTACCTAAGTCAACAGGTCAGTCCTCCAACCCATGAGGCAGAGGCTCTGACTGACCCGTGTGGAGTAGGAGGTAAAGCTGCGAGGGAGTAACCTGCCCAGTCGCAGCGCTAAGACGAGCCGGAGCTGGGGCGGAGCCCAGGATTCCAGCTCCAGGGCCCGTCTCACCCTAGGAACGTGGAGGAGGCGGAGGCTGGGATGGAGGGGTGCACGTGACCTAGTGGGAATTGCCTACCAACAGGCAAAGGTAGGTGCGGAGGCATCTGCTGTGTCCTGCACGTCCTGGTTCAGGGCGGGGGCGGGGCCCACATGGCCAGGAAGGAGGAAGGTTTGGGACAGCTGCTGGGAGGATGGGGAGTGAGCTGACAGTTCACAACGGCTTTGCTCATCAAAACTGACGCCCACCATGACAGCCGCCCACTGGCATCGCTGACGGCTCCGGGCCGATGCTGGGTCAAACCCGAATACGCCAGTGGTGGGCACAGGCCACTGGTGCCCATGCTGCTCTCACAGCCTCTAAAGTGGGTCCCAACATCTGAGTCCTCCTGGGATTGCACTGACTAGAAGGGGCAGAGGAGCAGACCAAGTCCCAGAGACTCATATATAATCAGGTGCTGGCCAGGTGCTGGGCTGCAGGGGGTCCCCACACCCAGGTGTGCCCGGCACCCCCTGGCCCTCACCGTGGACGATGGTGATGGGGAGGGGGCAGGCGGGCAGCCCCTGCCCCGCCTCGGCAGGCCCGCGCGCCGCCACCATGCGTGCTATCTGGGCGAGAGCGGAAGCCTGGTCCTCGTTCAGCTGGTGGGCCTGGATGAAGGCGCTGGCTAACTGCAGGGCTGCTCCTGGGCCGGGCAGCTCACAGTGCGTGTGGGTATTGGAGAAGGCGGGCGGGACGAATCTTCTCTTATCCACACTCTTACTGCTGACTGCAGCTGACGAAGGCCTAGTAAAAGGAGCAATACAATCAAAGAAAAATGAGGGGCTTCTGAAAAAGGGGAGTAGACCTGTTTATAACTTAACCTTCACTTACGAGCACCTCAGAGAACGTCCTTCTGTGAGCACCAGAGAAAAGCACTGACATTTGTTGAATACCTACTACGCGCAGACACTATGCTGAGTACTGCACGTCTTTACTGGGATCGTCACACTGGGGAGCAGTTAATCTACCCAAACAGAGACACGGAAATAGTAAACGTTTCTCCCACAAGTACCCAGCTGCTAAGTGGTGTTTGACACGGAGCCCAGGCCTTACTATGCAAACTGGCTCAGGAAATTACTAGAGCCTCTACGTCAAGTAAAACCGTCAGAGATAAGTTGGCTTTAGTATATAAAGACTGAGTTCATTTCAAAGTAGAAAAATAACATATTGAAAGTACACAGACTTTTTTTAACCCAAGACTTCATTGTGGTAAAAAGAATAAAACCAAATAGACCATAACATTCCAAATTTGAAACTAGTTTTGTCAATTTAATTTAATAAAATATCACTTCCAATTTTTTTAAAGGAGTTATAGTACTTGGGAAATTAAAAATGAGATAAAGATTATGTCAAAAATAAAACTAGTAGCAATATACATACTGGATTCAAACTGTAAAATAATTACAGTGGGGACTGACTTACGAGTGTCCCAACTAACGAGTTTTTTGAGATACCAGCTGTCTCTCGGCCGATTTTTTGCATTGAGTTGATAGAGTAATTTGAGTTAACAGCTCCTTAACGAGCTCGGTCTCAGAACAAATTAAACTCGTAAGTCAAGGCCCCACTGTACTTAAAAGTTTGGCCCAGCTGGTGTAGCTCAGTGGTTGAGTCGATTCCGGGGCAGGGCACAGGCCCAGGTTGTGGGCTCATCCCCAGTGGGGGGCGTGCAGGAGGAAGCCGATCCATGTTTCTCTCTCGTCATGGATGTTTCCCTCTTTCTCTCCCCCCTTCTATCTCCTAGTCTCTGAAAGACAGTTACAATTTTGCTGCCAAACGGGATGTACTGTTGCTGGGTACGCCACCCCGCCCCACCCGCAGGGGCAGGACTTACATGGCCAACAGGTGCTGCGTCAGAGGCAGGGTCGCGGGGCTGAAGTGCTCCCGCATGTTTTTCAGGGTGGTCAGCTCCGTGCTAGCATTGCAGACCCACAGGGCGTGGACGACCGCTGTGGAGAGGGTGCGGAGAGGAGCGTCAGTGCCCACAACAAAGACCGGGAGCACCTTAGGGAGTGTCCACGCAGCTCAGAGCCGGTGCTGAACCAGCCCCAGGCCGCAAGCCCTCGGCACACCCGCCTCCGTCCTGCCGTCTGCACAGGCACACTGAGTGTGGGTCCGTGACTGTGCCCGAGGGGCGTGGACAGACACTGTGGAGACACACGGGTGACATGCGCAGCCACCAGTCAGCACCCCGCCCTGGACCTGCAGCATCTGTTACTTCACAGAACTATTGGGAAGCAGGAGACTGGACGCTGATATTGGTGAGGACTCTGAAGTGACCAATGTTCGCTCCACTAGACAATAGGATCCAGCTGTCTACTCAGCTCCCACAGAAAACAGGGAGTTAGCCTGGCCGGCAGCTGAGTGCTGAGTGTCGGCCTGCGCCCCAGAGCGTCTTGGGTTCCCTTCCCACTCGAGGGCACGTGCCTGGGCTGCAGGTTCCATCCCGCCCCCGTGGGGTGGGTGCGGGCGGCAACCAATCCGTGTCCCTCACGTTGATGTTTCTCTCTCACTTTGCGTGCCCCCCTTGCACTCTCTCTATAAAAGTATCCTCGGGTGAGGATTCACACACACACGCTAAAACGTGCATGAAACACCTGAATGAGTCATTCAATGCTGTGTCTTTAATTAGTCAGGCGAGCCCCGGACATCGGGAATTATCCCAGAGCTGCCGAGGGGGAGGCGCCCTGGTTCACGAACGGGGGCACTGGCGGCCCGGCCTCACCAGGCGCTTCCCAGGCCGAGGACAACCTCCCTCCACATGAAACACCCTCCGCTCCGCTGCCCCCAAATCCCTGCAATTCTGAGAACGTCTCGGTGTGAAGGAAATGATGTGTTTACAACGTGCCCAACTAGCGTGAGAAACCAAGGGAACTCAGTGAACCACGAGAATAGGACTTAATACTAGGAATTATGTGACAAAATTCCTATTTAGAAATCAGGTACATGCGTGTAAATTCCACCCCAACAAAGCACCGAAGTGAGGGCCAGGATGCTGTGGGTCGACAGCCCTCTGGGGTTGAACTGCAGAAACATTCACACGTTTCCAGGGACACAGCCCAGGGAGCAGAAGTGGGTGCTTTTTCTCGGCTTTCATCGAAGAACCCACCCAAGCCAGCACCCCTGCTCGCAGCGCGCCTCACGCTGTCCTCTCTCTGGTCACAGGCGGCCTGGCGATACTCACTGTCCGTGGGCCACCGGGAGGGGAAGTAGCCTTTCAGAGGGAGCAGCTCCACCTCGTTGGCGGACGACGGCCCGAAGAACGCGCTGCAGGCGATGAACGTGTCCAGCTCGAAGTCCAGGGTTTTGGAGACCACCCACAGATCGTCTGCAGACAGACATGGCGAGGGCTCAGGACGATGCTCAATCCAGAGCTACTCGGATTGCCTAGGTGCCTAGTCCTACATTATTTCTCAAAAAACAAAACTGGTTATTGTCATCTTCAAGATTCCACCCAAATGAGGACCTGAACATCTCCATGTTTTAACTAGATTACTTCCATGGTTTTAAAGTTATTTTATCATTATAAAAAAGTGTAAATAAAGCAGACATCTAACTCATCTCTTCTAGAACAGCCTTATAGCTACATCAGACTTTCCCCAGGTAGACTATAAGTCTAGAGCAGCGATTTCCAACCTTTTTCATCTCATGGCACACAAAAACTAGTTATTAAGATTCTATGTGGCACACACAAAATATACTTTTTGCTGATCTCACACAAAAAAATAGGTTACAATTTTAAATCATTCACACTGGATGGCTATTGTTGGTTGGCTGTTGTCAGTTTTTATCTGACAATCTGAGGGAGAGGCAGGGCCCCTGACTCAATAGGCAGGAACTGCATGTTCGGACATCCTTGCGGCACACGGGTGAAAATCGCTGGTCTAGAGAGACGCTCTGCGGTACAGTGGTTTCCATGCTCAGAAAAGGCTGGCAGCCCATGGACGGAAGGCAGTGCCTCCCTACACCTCCGCTGGCCTGAAGCTGCGGAGATGAACCGTGTGCCTTCTCCATGTAGAGCCTGCCCCCCATCCCCAGCGCACACTGTGACCCGAGGCCAGCAGGACCCCGCACGCCACCTGAGCACAATGTCCACCACCAGCAGAGTCGACTGTAACCCTGGCCGTGGCTCAGGTGGCTGAGCGTCACCCTGTGCCCCGAAAGGACACCTGTTCCGTTCCTGGTCAGGGCACACACCCAGGTGGCGGGTTCGATCCCCATCGGCGTGCGCACGGGAGGCAACCGATCAATGTTTCTCTCTCACATCCATGTTTTTTTCCTCGCTCTCTCCCTTGCTCTCTATTCTAAATCAATAAAAACATATTTTTTAAAGAAAGTTAAAAAAGAGAGTCAACCGTATTTGTCTTTTTGTAAACTGCTTTTGTTCTAAAACTTATTTATACCAGTTGTATCTGTTGTTATAATCATATAACTTAATCATGTATTATTTCAACCATTATGAATATGAAGAAAAAAACTGTTTTAAGAAAACCTAAGGGAACAATTTAGAAAACTTTAAAGGATTTGCTAAAGAAAGGGACCCAAAACACAAAACTGCTCTGACTCAAGTGCAGAGGAGATCAGTGCAAAGCATGAGAAAAGAGAGCGAACAAATGTAAATCGCTCTCCACTCAGACTTCGAGGTGCCGCGTCCTTGCCCAGGTGACGGGTCAGACGGCGCGTTCGCGGGCGGCACCCTGTGGGGATGGTTCATACGAGGACGATGAACGGGTCTCCAATCAAAACCCGCATTCTGAACAAAAGCCTGGACTCTGTCAAAAGCTCATTAATAAAACTGCCCATGTATTTTAGGGTAAAATGCTAACGGCTCATATGCGTTATCTATAACCTGACTCTAAACAACCTGTACAACCACCTGGCCCGGAAGAGCCTCACCGGCCTCAGGGAAGACGGCCGACGCCCAGCAGCACACGCAGGGCTCGCAGTCCTGGGCTGAGACTGCTCAGCCGGGCGCTTTCCACGCCCACCCAGCCCCGGCCTCCTTTGCTTTACGTCCACTCTTACCAATGCCCTGAGAACTATCATTTTAGTGAATATGTGCAGGAAACTATTTTAGAAAAAGCTGAGCTACACCGCGGTATATTTTATTCCTAATTTATTTAAAAGCGTTTACCAATTGAGGTAACACATCTAAGCGACTTATTCCCATTCGCTAATGTTTACTTTCTTCAACGTTTGCCACGATTCGCAGGAAGATGTCTAACTCACGACAGCTGGCAGGAGTGTGCTCCCGCTCCGTTCTCCTCGACCCACTGCAATGACCGCACAGAACAGGGCCGCGCGAAGGCCACCCCTCCTAGAAGGGAGGTTCTGATGGAATGGTAAGACCTAGGAAGCTTGGGAACTACTAATCCCTGCAGATGACAGGAATTCTGGATGGAAAAAGAAAAGACAGAATTTTCTGGGGGACTTCAGGAAACCCCCCCACTCGGCAGCCACAGGAAGCCTGGCTGTGGGTGCAGGAAGGGGTGGGGCATCACTCCTGAGACTGACACTGGGCATGTGACCCTCACCACAGAGGCTCAGGCGACTCCGAGGGCCGGGACCAGGGAGGCTCTGAGTGAGGAGGGCGGCCACGGGCATGAGTCCTGGGCACCATGACCAGGGAGCAGGTCAGTCATCGCAGGTCTCGATCGACGGGGGTTTGTTGTTAGGAAGACACAATAGCTATGTTACATTCTGGGCCAACAGACACTGCAAATGTCAGGTAGGTATTATTACTATTATTCTCTGAACAGAGACGTTAAGTAAATTATCCACAGACAGAGGCCATCACGGAGGCCTGGGACTGAACCGACTTCCTGAGCCACGGGAGCACCGAGCCCGGCCAACCTCCCCCGATGCTGCCAGAGAACAGCTGAAACCCAGGGGAAGCGGGTCTCAGGCCAAAACAATGACCCACTGAAGGGACACAAAGACTTGCATAGAAAACACTAGGCCTCAGAGCCCTTCAGAAAGGAGGCACCAGACAGACGGACAAAGAAGGTGTGAGCCTGGGAAAGAGGGGAGAAGTACGGGGAGCAGCAGTGCAAATGGAGCAAGAAACACTGAAAAGGACATGAACAGTGTTCGTCTGGGAAAATGTGGCAGTTAAAGTAATAATCAGTGGGATACATAGAGAATGGATACGTTAGAAAATAAGCAATTTAGAAGGAAGACAGAAAACCCAGACAATATAAGGGAAATGTGAAGCGATTTAGAGATGACATTCAGAAGTGCTGACATCTGAATAATAAAAGTCCTAGTGAAATAAATAAAAGCAAGAGGGAAATTACCTGAAGAAATAATGGAGATCAATTTCCCAGAACTGAAAACACAGTGTTTCCCGATACGCACAGGCACACGCTGCACTTCAGGTTCAGTGATGATGCCATGAAGGCGCAGCATGAAGTGACTCAGTGAGAAAAAAGACACGGGAGCCAAGGCACCGGCACAGAAACCAGGAAATCATTCACAAGAAAAACAGCCACAATGGAGCCTGGACCCGAAGCCGTGGGCGTTCCGAACCCCCCACCTAAGCCTTGGGCAGGACTCCGAGTTCCCTCTGAACCCCAGAGGGCACCGCTGACCCAAAAAGGGAAGCGTGGCATCACACAAAGAGAAGAGTCCGAGATGGAGAAGGGCCGGAGGGGAGGGTGCTGGTGACAGCACCGAGGAAAGGCCACCAGGCCTCCCTGTCTGAGGACAGTGACCGTGGTGACGACATCTTCACTGGGAACAGCAGACAGACATGAGAAAGGAAAGCAGTTGCCAGTCTTCTGTTTTGGAACAAAAATCACCCGAAAAAGTGTTCCCTGAAGGAGACACACTTGAAACCCGTCAGGTGTAAGAAATGACCAAACCAGCCAGCGAAGAGGCGAGGGAGTTGGCTCAGAGCTTGTCCACTCACACGATCTAAAAGCTCGAGAAGAAACCGGAGAACAGACTCTGAAAGCAAAGCCCAGGTTTTCAGGGGAAGGAACCTCAACCCAAGCGCAGTCACCAAGAGCAGAGAGGCCGGGCACGCAGAACAGACGCAGCCGCTCTGCCTCCTGGGACCGGCATCAGGATGTGCTGTTCCCAGGGAAAAGCCACGTGATGACTGAGCTTGACCATCTAAGAATTCTTGTTCTGCCTTTGTTTTGTTTTTTAACCAGCCCATGATTTAAACTCGTATAAATTTTTCTTTTGAAAAATTATTTTCAAAAGAATAAATCTCTTTTGAGGATAGAAATATTTTACTCTTTAAAGCTACTCATGTCTTAAAAATATATATACTTAATTAATTTCAGAGAGGGGGGAGAGAGAAACATCAATGTGAGAGAGAAACACCTATCGGTTTTGCCTTCTGCACACAACCCACTGGGCACGGGGGAGCGAACCCGAAACCTGGGCGGTGCCCTGCCTGACCTGGAAGCGAGGCAGTGCATGGGTCGGCGCTCAACCAACTGAGCCACCTGGCCAGGCAGGCCTGTTGTTGTCCGTTTCCTTTTTAAGTTAGGGTTACATAACTTTCCCATAAGCCAACTTCATAAACTGATTTTTTCCATTTCCCTTTTCATTAAATTTATTGGGAGTAGCATTGGTTACATTAATTGATTTTTAAAAATATACCCAGACTGTTCCCTTTATAAAAGAATTATGAGGTTATAATTCTCAGATTTCCTCATTTGTACTTATCATGAAGTGAATTAGGTTTGTGTTTCTTTGCCTTGAAAATAAATGTTGAGATACATTTAAAATAATAATGGAATAAGAGGAAATTGTAGCTTTTTAAAATAGATCATCTTTGCTAAAAATTGTTAGCAAAACTAAGATTAAGATAGTAATGTTTATTATGAGTATACAGATAATAAACTATACAACTAAATATTAATTTTTATTATAGTTTTAAATATTTGTACTTTTTGACTGTTTTAGTTTTCCAGGACAATTTCGGATTTGAGTTATATTCCAATTATTTAGGCAACATACATTGTTTAAATGTAGCAACACAACCAAAAATTGGTTTTATATTTCACTGCATATAAATATTTCTGTTAAACCAGAATGTACAACATCTAATGACTCAGCTATGTGCACTTAGAGCAGGGGTGGGCAAACTTTTTGACGCGAGGGCCACAGTGGGTTCTTAAACTGGCCCGGAGGGCCGGAACAAAAGCATGGATGGAGTGTTTGTGTGAACTAATATAAATTCAAAGTAAACATCATTACATAAAAGGGTACGGTCTTTTTTTTTTTTAGTTTTATTCATTTCAAACGGGCCGTAGTTTGCCCACGGCTGGCTTAGAGACACTCTGAGGAGCCGTAGGTTGGGATTCAGGTGAACAAACTGTGTGTGTGTCGGGGGTGGGGGGCGGGGGGATGTGCCCACAGACAGCCCAGGTGGCTCACTGAGGCAGGGACTGCGCTGCACATCCTAGTCCTGCTCGTGAAAGGAAACGGGACTTCAGTCCCTTCCACAGTCACCCCCGCTGCTCTGCAGGAAAATAAAGGTTCTTGGTCAATTAAGTAAAAGTAACAACATTTGAAAGATAAATATAGAGTGAGTTCACAGAGCCTGAGGCATCGACCGATCACACCAACCTACCTTTGCTATAAGCCGAAGAACTTTCCTTCCGACTCAGCTTGAGATACAGTTTGCTTTTAGGTTCAGGATACAATTCAGGGTGTGCGGTCGTATACTTCTTTAGTTTGCCATACTGTTTTCTTTGAAAATCAAATCCTTTTCTGCAAAATGAGTAAAAAACAAAAATGAATTTGAATATTAAGATACAAATTTTTTGTTAATTGAAATATAATTGGCACATACTTTATATTAGCTTCAGGTGTACATCGCAGTGATTCTAACAGACAGTGAAATGACAACTACGGTAAGTCTAGTTAACATACGTAGTTACAAATGTTTTTCTTGTGATGAGAACTTTTAAGATTTATCCTTAGCAACTTTTAAACAGACTATATACAGTATTGGTAACCATCGTCACCATGCTGTACGTGACACCCCCAGGACTAATTTATTTCATAGCTGCAAGTCTGAAGGCACAACTGTTTTAAAATACAGCAGGTAAGGACCAGGATGGGTGTGCTCATGCTTTCATACACACACAAAACAAAAACATACCGCGTCAAAGGAAGGAACCAGCAGCCCTCACGGAATTATCATTGTTTTAAGAGACTGAGATAGAAACAGTATCTCAGCACCTAAGGAGCTGCTGTGACTGTAAAGGGGATAACAAGTTAGGCCCCGATCTCCACCTCTTAGAGGTGAAGCGATGACTGAATAGACACGCAGTGCTCAGCTGAGGGCGGCACCTGGGAGCTCCCGTGCACGCTGTTCTCTAAGGTCCCATGCACATGCTCAGTACAGCTCCCTTTGGGGCGGTCCTGCTGCTATGAAACATGTTTCCAAACGCAGCGCTTGTACCTGCAGTCCGGGCTATGGCAGGCACCACCATGGCCCTGCCCTCACCAAAGCCAGGCCTGTGGCGCTTCGGGAGGGCTGCCCTTGGGATTGGGATTGTGTATTAAAATGATGAGAAAATGGTGTTCCTGCAGCTGCCTGGCAGTGCTGACACTGCTTGGTGCAGAGAGGGGCCCACACGGCGTTAGGGACCTGCTCCCATCTCAGCAGGACACACCCAGGTGAGCTTCCAGGTCCCGGATCTCCTGTCTCTCCCCGGACTTCGGCGACTGCCTTCTGACTGGTCAGGACACTGTGTGATCAGCACTCACCTCACCGAGAGCTGGCACTCCTCGTAGACGGGGACGCTCTGGCTTCTCAGGTACACGCCGATGCTCTTCACGTCACTTAACACCAGGGCGGGCGGAGAGTCCGCCTGTGTGACGTGTCCTGGGGCCACCTCTTCAAGCCACTTAAAAAAGTTACACCTGTCCGCTCTGGGCGCGTCACAGGCGTAGAAGAGACGGCCCTACAGAGACAATACAATTCAGTGAGAAAAAGTGTTTCTACTTTATACTGGTTTTTTAAAAGGAAAGTCCTTTTTTTAAAAATTCATTGATTTGAGAGAGAGAGGAGGGGGGTGAGGGGGGAGAGAGAGAGAGAGAGAGGAGGTCAATTTGTCTTCCACTCACTGGTTGCTTCCTGTATGTGCCCTGACCGGGTGGAACTCGCTGCCTTGGCAAAGTGGGATGGTGCTCTAACCAGTGAGCTCCGGCCAGGGCTTGTATGCTGTGTGCTGAGACTTTCACAAAGGCTGCGTGGCATTAATGCACTCCAATAAGTTCGTCATTATACAACGCAATCTTTTCATTGATTTAAATAATAAAATTTAAAACCAGCTAGTTTTCCACTTGTTTTTTCCGTATCAAAAAGTTACATGTTACATTATTCTGAGAATGTAAGCTTACTTGGAAAATAAAATGCACTGTTTTTCTGATTTAAAGTGATCACTGCCGACAGCCAGCCTGCGAGCTGCCCGAGCAGCTCTTCTCACGGCCTTTCCCGCTCACTGACCTGCACGTGCACACACAATACACGCGTGTAGACTGCTCTGCTCTTTAAAGTAAAACTCAGACCTAACCCTTATACCAACAACATACTACTAGTACGACAACGACGTCATCAGATAATATACAACACTTTACCTCATGGTTCTAATATGGTTTATGGACCTGGTCTGACAACTATGTTTAAACCAGGTTTACGTGCTCAGCATGCAGACACGGAGTGAACCTGTGTTGCTGTGCAGCCTGGTCTCACAAGAACGCACCACCCACTGACACACAGACATCGCACGACACCTCCCATCACCGTGCGCATTTAGCAAACAAACAAGTCGGGGGCGTCCTGTCCCCCTGACCTGCGGCAGCCGAGTCCCTTCCTCCCGACCTCCAGGCTCTCCCTGGGGCTGGCCGTGCTCCTCCTGCCTTGCCTGCCAACCGCGGTGTAACCTTCCTTCCATCCTCTCCACCCACCACTCAGCTCTCAGTTCCTAAGCGTTTGTTAGTGACGAAAGCTCAGGCAGAGGCTCCTGGTCAGACTGACACTCTGCTGAGCCTGTGAGAGCAACAGGTGCTGCACCTTTAAGGAGACAATGCTCGTGGACAACAGGAGGGCAGGGGGAGCGAGACCTTGTTGGGCCCCTCCTTCTTCACCATGACGAGCTTTGCGGGCCGCTGGTGGCGGCAGGACGGCACCCTGCTTCCTGCGGCGCCCCCTCCCGCTCCGAGGGACGATGTGTAAAATGACAGGTCGACTGCGGAGAGCGCTTTGCGCAGCCTCTGTGCCAGCCCGCACAGCAGAATGTTCAGATGCTCTACAGAGAGAAGGGGGGGATTAGTCACAATAATGCATGTGCGCATCACACGTGCTGCTTGTTGAACTGGAGAAGAGCCTGTGAACAGCGTGAACTATAACCTAACACTGAGCTTCAAAGGCAAGGCTTGCCCTTGGACAGCAGAACGAGCCGTCAAATCAGGCATCATGCTTAAAATTTCCTCCTAACAAAACCACTTGTAGCACTTCAAGTTTAAAAGAAAATAAAAAACTGTAACTTCAGAAAGAGAATACTGTCATTTCCCATCTCTAAAACAATGTGGCTCTGAAATTAAGCTACTGTCAAACTCTGGAGTAAACATGGGCGATAACACACTCCAAGGGGAGAGCTCACCACGAAAGCTCACACTGCATGACCCTGCACCGCTCACAGCCACACGGCTCGCAGCCACACGGCTCACACCACATGACCCTGTACCACTCACAGCCACACGGCTCACAGCCACACGGCTCACACCGCATGACCCTGCACCGCTCACAGCCACACGGCTCACACCACATGACCCTGTACCACTCACAGCCACACGGCTCACAGCCACACGGATCACAGCCACACGGCTCACACCACATGATACTGTACCGCTCACAGCCACACGGCTCGCAGCCACACGGCTCACACCACATGACCCTGTACCACTCACAGCCACACGGCTCACAGCCACACGGCTCGCAGCCACACGGCTCGCAGCCACACGGCTCGCAGCCACACGGCTCGCAGCCACACGGATCACAGCCACACGGCTCACACCACATTATACTGTACCGCTCACAGCCACACGGCTCGCAGCCACACGGATCACACCACATCACCCTGTACCGCTCACAGCCACATGGCTCGCAGCCACACGGCTCACACCACATGACCCTGTACCGCTCACAGCCACATGGCTCATAGCCACACGGCTCGCAGTCACACGGCTCACACCACATGACACTGCATCACTCTCAGCCACACGGCTCACAGTTACAGGGCTCATAGCCACATGACTCACACCGTACGACAATGCATCGCTTGCAGCCACACAACCAGCACAGGAAACAGAAAGGCAGCAGCCGTACCTACGAGACAGGAGGTGAAGACCTGCTTGTAGTGAGCAGGAGACTGGAAGACAGCGGGCACGCGCGTCTGCCTTCGGGGAAGAGGAGCAGATATTATCTCCCGCCCACTGGGGAAGCACAGCTCAGAGACGTTTATCTCCTGAAATGGAATAACTCAGGTTAATATAACAACTAAAAAATGCTAATTACTAATGAGTAAATTATTTCCTATAGGTATGTTCAAGAAAAGAAGCAATTTTTAAAAATTTTCCAGAAACCTTGAAAATACCTTCCTAAGTTTAAATGAGAAACGAGTGTGGGAGAAGGGCCACGCGAGCACTGTTAATAAACAGGACTAACTCTTCTTGCTGGCCCCTTTGCAAGAAAAAAGTTAGCAGATGCGAGTGGATCACTGTGCATTCCCGTCTCTGCTACAGTTGCCACAGGAACTGCTGCCTGGCTGCTGGGGCTCAGGGGCTGAGCTTCCACCCATGAGCCAGGAGGCCATGGTTTGGTTCCTGGACAGGCAGCTCACAGATGTCTGTCTATCATCATCTATGTGTCTATCTCCCTCTCCCTCTCTCTTCCACTGATAAAGATATCTTAAAAAGAAAAGAATGGCTCACATTCAGTGTGTGTGAGATGTACCTTTACCTCGATGATCTGACCAGCAAACAGAGCTGAGTGAAATAGTCACCGGGCGGCAGTACTGGGGGCGCCTGGAACCGTCGGAGCTATGGTTAACCCACTGGGCTAAATGCTGCACCAGACGCTTCCCAATGTGGAACTTCACTTAAGGCCCACAACTGCGAGGCAAGACCGTCAGTCAAAGCAGATGTTACGGAAACTCACACACACAAAGCCACGGCTCCAGGAGTAAATCCTGGCTGGGGAAAGTCAGACGATACCGACTGGGAGCACCGGACACGTCCTCACCTGCACGCCTGTCGCACACGCAGACTCTTCCCACACATCCCGAGCGTCCTCAGCCTCGGATGCAGACTCCAGCCTCAAAGACAGCGCTTTCCTTCCACAAACAAAGTCCCGCGTGCCGACGCCCTGCTGCTGCCGCTGGAGCTGGCCTCTCACCCTCTGCAGAGGCGTGGGGCCTGCGGAGCTGTCCCCAGCATCGCTGCGTCTCTCGCCTGCGTCACCACCGCACAGCCCCATGGCCGCCGCAGGGAAGCCGTCCTCGGTGGCACCTGCCTCAGGTGGGCCGGGAGTCGGCAAGGCGCACGGGGGCGTGTTTTGGTATTTCAGCCACTTGCTTCGAGCAGACATTCCATGAAGTGAAACACGCCCTGGGGTCGCCTCCATGGACACTTGACACAAAAGGGTTTCACTCTGGTCCTCAGGCCCAGGGCTGGGAGGGAGAACGGCTGGCTCCTCACACAGGCTGAACAGGGGAGAACCGGGGGAGCCGGGAGCCGGCTGCCAGCCCCAGGCGGCGGCCCAGGGCCCAGGGTCTCCGTCGGGGGGCGCATCCACTGGGGGCGCAGTCACGAGCGCAGCTCGGGCTCTGCTGGACGAAGGCAGCCTCGGAAGGTGCTGGCTCTCCAGGGAACTGAACCTTTCCATTCCTGGGGAAAAGCCAATTAAATAAAAGTGTATTAAGTCAATGCCTAGGCTCTAAAATACTGCGGGTATCTACACAAAACAGCAAAAATACTAACTTGCCTTTAAAAAATCACATTTAATTTTTATTTCTTTTTATTTTTTAAAAAATATATTTTTATTGGTTTTTTACAGAGAGGATGGGAGAGGGATAGAGAGTTAGAAACATCGATCAGCGGCCTCTTGCACACCTCCCACTGGAGATGTGCCCGCAACCCAGGTACATGCCCTTGACCGGAATCGAACCCGGGACCCTTGAGTCTGCAGGCCGATGCTCTATCCACTGAGCCAAACCGGTTAGGGCTCTTTTTAAAATAAAATATAATTTTTATGGTTTTAGTCTCAAGAAAAGAAAAATTTCAAAGATAAATTACAAGACTCTGAGCCTGGCTGGTATGGCTCGGTGGTTGAGCTATGAACCAGGAGGTCACAGTTCTATTCTCAGTCATGGCATACGCCTGGGTTGTGGGCTCGATCCCCGGTGTGGGCAAGTAGGAGGCAGCTGACCTATGATTTTCTCTCATCATTGGTGTTTCTGTCTCTCCCTTTCCCTTCCTCTCTGAAATCAATAAAAATATATCTTAAAAACATTTTAAGAAAATACTAAAACTTTTTTAAGGTTGATGAACTTGAAACTGTCTTTTTCTTTTTCCCTTCAGCTGACAATTTCCCCCCAATTAGAACATTTTATTTACATGGCACTGAAGTTTTCAGAGAACTTTCAGTCAAGAAGGGAATCATCATCCATTTCACAGATGAGATAATCGAGGCCCAGAGGTAACACGACCAACTGGCACTCAGGATGAGACCCCAGACTGTCCTCCACTTTACATTCCTTCTCCAGAGACTGAAGTTTGAGGTAGTTTATCCATGTAACTTCCTCTACATATTTATCACACGCACTAATTAATATGTTGACCGTAAGGGAAAAGATTTTTAGCTTTAGTTTGACCTATTGTATGTGATAAGAGTTCGTGTTTGGACTGAGTGTTAGTAATAGATATAGCCCTGAAAATGCAAAAAGCAATAATGTGTTGAATAAACAAACAAATGAATAATGCTGCGTGAGAATATACAGGCTTGCAGTTTTACCAGACAGGGCTGTTCCTATTTGACAGTAACGTGCCTCCTTGGAGTGTCTGTTTTTAGGAAATAAACTGGAGTTCACTTCGAAGCTAGAAAAGCAGTAGTTGAGCCAACAAGCCATCAAGCAACAGTGACAGAGGAGGTGAGGCCAGGGAAAACGCAGAGGCTCCTGGTGTGACTATGGAGGCGCCTGTCACTCCCCTGTCACTCTCCTGTCTCAGACAACGGCTCTACTGTACTGTTTGCTCTAGCCACACCCACGGAACCTGCTCCCAAACACCCAGGCACATTGCAAAGCTCTTCCGTATCATCCACCCACGACTAAACAACAGCCCATGACTGCACGCCTCACCCGGCAGAACTCAGAACCCGGGGAGATGCATGAGGTCACGGGAGAGGACGGGGTGAGGGAGGGTCCTGCCGAAAGCGGGGCTATCGAGAAGCGGGTCACGCACAGGGGTCGGGATGGGGAGGCGGGCCTGGCACACCCGGGCGGCAGCAGCGGGAGCGCTGGCTGAGACTGCCAGGACCCCGAGCAGAGAGGGGAAGCCGGTCATGTCAGGGTAACCGATGGTGTAGACCAGACATTCCCAAGGGGCCGCAGAGGGAGGGCTCTGGGTTACCGCCGGGCTTCTGGGTGCCCAGAGCTGAGAGGAACCAGAGCCAGAGGGAGGGGAGAGCCACCTGCCACAGCAGAGCCCCGAGGCGGGCGGGCAGGCAGGCGGGGAAGGCTGCAGGATGACTGGGGTCTGGTCCAACGTGTTCTCAGTTGGTAACAATCTCTCAGACAGAAAGCTCCCTGACACGGCAGGTAGACAGCAGAGCTCCTGGAACAGCTGCAAGAGGAGGAAGGGAAGGCCACCTGGTGACGGTCTTGCTGGCAGGGCCCCCTCGGGGACTTCTAGCAGGAAGGCCTCGTCGTGTGAGCCCAGAGAGAAGGCGGCCGCGGGGCTTGGTGCTGAGCCCTCCTGTGCGGGCGGGGGCACCTGTCCAGAGAGAAACAAGGCTGCAGACCGCAGGCCTGGACTGCGCTCCCGGGCTGAGCGAGCCGGGATCCACACTGAGACGCCGCCTCAGCCACACCATGCGGAGCGCAGCGGGCAGACGCCCCCGCGGGACAGGGCAGAAGAGACTCACCCAAACCAACCAGACAGTGGGGACCCGGGGCCCAGGGAGAAAGGCCGCGAGGGCTGGGAATCCTGAAACCATGGGTCACCCGTTCTGCTCTGAGACATGTTTACTACATGGTTTTTCTGGAAGCTCTGCAACGACCCCAAGAAGGAACACGCTGTAAGCAGACCCCAGGCCCGCGGTGGCGGAGCCGACACAGCACGCTTCGCGGTGGTGGGGACAGCCCGGCTTGCTGGCACCCACTCATTCCCCAGGGGCCGCAGAGGGAGGGCCCTGGGTTACCGCTGGGCTTCTGAACAAGCACAGCTGGCGCTCACTGCTTCGGAACGCGTGCGTGCTGTCATGGGCTCTGGGCCCTCAATGGAGCTACAGTTCAATACTCTCTGCAGAAAATCTTCGTTGCCATTTTTATGGTGTCCAAACAGGTGACACTGTGATCGCAAAAAGCCCAAGTGATCCAAAACCAAGAATGTGTAGGAGCCATTGGTTTGGAAGGAAACAAGCCAGAAGGTGCTGAGCTGCACAGCTCCCTCCACAGGCCCGGGGCTAGCCAGGGGCGGGCAGACTTTCTGACCCGAGGGCCACACTGGGCTCTTAAACTGGACCGGAGGCCGGGACAAAAGCATGGATGGAGTGTTTGTGTGAACTAATGTAAATTCAAAGTAAACATCCTTACATAAAAGGGTACGGTCTTTTTTTTTTTTAGTTTTATTCATTTCAAACGGGCTGGATCCGGCCCGCGGGCTGTAGTTTGCCCACGGCTGGGCTATGGCCTGTCCCATACGACCTAGAGCAGTGATGGCGAACCTTTTGAGCTCGGCGTGTCAGCATTTTGAAAACCCCTAACTTAACTCTGGTGCCGTGTCACATATAGAAATTTTTTGATATTTGCAACCATAGTAAAACAAAGATTTATATTTTTGATATTTATTTTTATATTTAAATGCCATTTAACAAAGAAAAATCAACCAAAAAAATGAGTTCATGTGTCACCTCTGACACGCGTGTCATAGGTTCGCCATCACTGACCTAAGAGTGATTTGGCATTTCTTCCTGATGGCCCTGAGGAAACACTTTATTTATTTATTTTTTAATATATTTTTATTGATTTCAGAGAGGAAGAGGGAGGGAGGAAGATAGAAACATCGATGAGAGGGAATCATGGATTGGCTGCCTCCTGCACATTCCCCACCCCAGTGGGGCTGAGCCCACAACCTGGGCATGTGCACTGACTGGGAATCAAACCGTGACCTCTTGGTTCATAGGCTGACGTTCAACCACTGAGCCACGCAAGCCGGGCCCAGGCCCAGTTTCTGATGAGCAGCACGCACTTATTCTTTCCATTTCATTCCTGTCTGCTGTTCAAGTGAAATGATGGCCACTAAGACCATGTACGGAGTACTTACTAATACACTATCTGCTACTCAAAAAAGCAAACTAGAAAGTGAACTACAGAACGGAAAGCCTGTTGGGTTTCCTTGAAACATGACAGACTCTGACCTGCACTGACTGGGTTGCGGGTTTGGTTCTGAGGATCAGTGTCCACCTGAGGGGCTGAGGCTGAGACGTCCTGTCCGGAGCAGGAAGACCAAGGACTGAGCAGCGCCCATGACGTCCTCAGGCCTAGAGCAGGCCTATCGTTGACCTAAACGCCAAGGTACTGCTCCCAGATGAGGGACCTTTGGATCTGTCCCGGACCGCACCAGTCGTCTTCTTCACTGTCACTCTCTAGAAGCCTTTCATTTTGCTGTCGCGTCCAGAAATCGATCACCTTACAAACCTAACGTGGCTGACAGATGGCCCCAAAGTCACGTGGAAGCCAAATGCATGCGCCTGTACTTGGAAATAGGGGCAGTAAGAGGTAAAAGCTAAAGGAACTCACAGGCTAAGTGAGGGGCCTGATGGGAGAGAATGAGCCCCCCCCCCACCACACACACACACACGTGCACACACACACGCACACACAGGAACGGCCGTGTGAGCGCACAGAGTGAGCAGCCCCCTATGAGCCAGGAGGAGTCCTCGATAGAAAACCAAATCAGCCAGAACCTGGAGCTTGGACTTCCAGCCTCAGGCATGTGAGCAGTAAATGTGTGTAAAACACGCGAGCTGCACCCTCTGTGCGCGGCCGGAGCTGGCCGACATCCCTCCCGACTCGCCTGGGAACCACTCGGTTCCCTCCTCCGGAGGTAGGAGTCTCTCTCCCTGTCTCCCCCGCCCTCCACATCCATCCAGCAGCATCCACACGTCTCCTCCAAATGACACCTGTGTCCCTGTCAAGTCCTCTGCACGCTTCCTGAGACACCCCACACCAAGTCGCCGTCACCCAGGCTCCCTGCTCCCACTGCTCACCCGTCAGATCCCCCACAGCATGTCAATCCAGTGCCAGGGCTTTCTGCTGACACCCCTTCAGGGACAACCTCACGCTGTTCCCCTCACAGGCAGGACTCGGTGTCTGGCCTGCTCCTGTGCCCAGTCTCCTCCCCTCTCACTCACCGGCCAGCTGGGGGCGCCCACCCACCAGTTCTGCAACCAGGAAAACAGGGCCTTGCCCCGACAAGTAAGACAGGAAATCCCGCCTCTGGACCGTGTGACTAACAGAAGATGCCACGTGGGCAGGTGTTCACGACAGCACATGGGTGTTCGCTGCGGCGTGAGCCACTGAGGCATGGAGAGCTGGGGGCATTCGCACAATGGCACACCCACCAGCCCCGGGAACGCGTGACTACAGCCACCGGCACCGGCAGCGATGGATGTCAGGCCTGCCCGCTACTCACATGCAACTTTAAAAGCAAGACTGGGAGAGGGGGCTGCTGGGAGGCCGGTCGTGCTGTTCCTGAGGGTGGATCCGCTCTGAGTCATTCCTGAGCTGTGTGCTCATTCTGCACGTGTGTGATGGTCAATGAAAAGGGGAATTTAAACATCTCTCTAACAGATCCTGCTCACAGACACCCAGGCATGGCTTCTAGCGGGTAGCAATGCGAGGCACTTGGTGTCATACTTGGGGGGAAAGAGAAGAAAAAATCTGCTAGCTGCTAAACAACTGTAACCTGACTGCACGCTATTGTCATGAATTCCCAGTCTTCTCTGAAGGGAAAAGTGATCCTTTACGTTCCTGATCCTACAAAAGAAGTAAATCTTCCAAATAAAATATTTTTGCCCTATTTAGTTTGATCTGAGATGTTATGTTTCTTGTCAATTTACGGAATTCCTTTTCAAGTTACAACTGTACAAAGATTTAAACATACTCCCTTCATGAAATTTAGCACTGACATATGGGAAATGATTTTGGGAGATGCAACTATAAAAACTTTTTTTACTGGGGCAGGGGGGTGGGGGGTGGCTAGAGGGAGTCAATGGGGAAAAAGGAGAACAAATGTAATACTTTCAACAATAAAAAATTATAAAAACATAAACCTTTTTACCTGCAAGAAGTCAACTTGCGCACAAGCGCAAGGCAGCTTGGCCGCCCAAGCACAGGCGTCGGCCGTGGAGCTGTTGTGCGCGGGGCGACCCGGGAGCTGGCTACAGCCCAGCGGCGGGCAGTGCCCTCGGACCATCACAGCGCTGGTCGCCGACCCCTGCACTTGGTGCCCTTGGAACTCAACAGGCTACAGGGAAGTTAGGAACAATGGACACGTGCGTTCACAATGTAATTATACAGAGAAAACAATACACAAGTCAGCTTTCTGTTCATATTGTTAATATCATTAATGTAAATAATGACGAGGGGACCAATGCTCTTACCCGACGACTCGCTAGAGGTGACGGAAGTGCACTGATTTAACTGGGCTCCAGTTCAACACAACCAGCGTGACTTTACTACGAGCACAGACCTGCACTGGTGCCGAGCTACCTGAGCCAGGGGCACACGGAGCCCGCGCTGCCCTTCCCCGCCCACTGCAGGACGCCCACTGCAGACCTGCCGGTCCCTGCGGCCGGGACCAGCTCTCTGGGAGCACTGAGGACAGAGCCCTCTGCTCCCCCGGCGCCAATGAAGTCCTCACACCAAGCTTGGCAGAGTGGCCAGCAAGAAACACGGCAACAGGAAGGGGAGGAGAACAGGGAGCCTTTTCTTGAAGTTAGTAAATATCAGGCTTCACTCTGAGGATCTGCCTCCCAGAAGACTTGATCCCCTGCTGGGAGAGCAAAGGTCTGAGCGTGACCCCAACAGAGGCAGCAGGGGGCGCTGCCCAGGCGGCCAGCTCTCAGGCTGAAGACTTCTCTGCTGCCCCGCCCTCCAGGGAGGGCGCTGGCGTTTTCACAGCATGGGGGGGGGGAGGGGGGTGGTACCCAGAACTGGAAAATAAGAAGGCTAATCAAGCCAAAGGAATGTACCTAGAGGACGAATTTATTTCTAACTGATAAATGAACAAAATGACCATGAGGCATAATAGGAATATTCTCCTAGTTAAAAATAAATATTCTAGGTCACACATTTGAAAGGAAAATCAAATCTAAAATGCCCCAGGACTTTTGTTGAAAACATTACTCTGAATTTTAAAAATACGCATGGCAGTGTACAACGTCTGCTGTGCTGGCGAAGACACGTTCCACACGCGGATGCCTGGCCCCATGGTGGCCGTGGCTCCCTCCCGAGATGCTGGTTGCAGGAGTAGAGTCAACTGGAAGCCAGGCCGGGATGCTGCCTCTCCAGCGCCCCCTAGGGTGGGCTATGGGCACCTGTGTGCCACGTCAGCGTGTGGGCACTACAGGTCACGGCTGTGAGGAACTGTCATTAACGGCACTTCACAGCCCATGGCCAGCCCCTCGGGCCTCCTAGGCACACGCACCGGTCAGGTCACTAGTAACACAGCGAGGGCTCAAGACCTAACGCGGTCAGAACCCTCTCGTTCCTTATTCTTAAAACCGGGGGTACTAGCACGCTCCCCACCCCCTGCCTATGAAAGCTCTGACGATTGTGTGAAAACCGCAGGAAAACACATTCAGTTAGAAAACCAATGATCTTCACAGGTTTTACCTGAGGGTCCCAGGTGGTTCTCTCTATTTGTGTAGGAGTAACAGCTGGAAAGACGGTCTCTTCTTCACTTCCCAAGGAAAGGAACTAGAATAAAAGACCAGGAAGTGTGTTCAGGAGTGTGATGGGAAAATGCTCCAAAACTGGAGGCTAGGTTTGCCTTTGAAACACACTTGTCGTTTCTATCTTGCTTCTGTCTCTCTAGACATGTAAGAAGCCACTCCGGCACAGGGCTGCTCTACAGAAGCGGTGCCACGCTAATTAACCTCAAAACGCCTGGGAAAATCCTGATTCTAAAACTGTAATTGAACCTTTAACACTAGAGAAAATTACTGGGTTCATTATAAATCAGTCATCAAACCTAAAGCTGATGTTAATGAAAATTACTTAATTCAAAGATTAGTATGAAGTTAAAGGAGGAAAAACTATACACAGTGTAACAGTTTATTTAAAGAATGAATCATCTAGCAGCCAAAAAACACAAGATATTGGCAACATTTTAACTTCAAGACAGCTGTAGTAAGCGTAGTAAGAAAGTAATTACAGAAATAAAGATTAAAATGTTACTTTCAAAGACTGTAAGGCCTTTCCCATGACTGTGAGGTTACAACAGATTTCAAAAAAAATGTGTGACGCCCAGCTGATGTGGCTCAGTGGCTGAGCGTCGTCAGTGCACCAAAAGGCCACGGTTTGACTCCCAGTCGGGGCACACGCCCAGATTTCTGGCTCGGTCTCCAGTAGGGGGTGTGTAGGAGGCAGCCCACTGATGTTTCTCTCCTTTCCTCTCTCTCTAAAACCAAATATATATATCTTAAATGACAACTTATTCTGGAGGAAAATACAGTGATGGTGTTTATTTGCAGTTTACATTTGGTAATAACTGTCCTTGAAAAAGTTTAAACTCTATTTTCTCCAGCGGGAAAAAACCAACAAAAATGTGATCACTTGTAGTTATATGATGCAACTGCTGACTGCCCATGATTTTATCATGTACGGTAATAAGTGACTGATTATGTGCATGCACACAGGCCTAACCAAGGGACACAGACAACAGGGGGTGAGGGCATGAGTGGGGGGATGGGAGGGCAATATGGGGATAAGCACATGTATGTGATAACTTAATCAATAAAGAAATTTTTTGCCCTGGCCGGTTTGGCTTGGTGGATAGAGCGTCAGCCTGCAGACTGAAGAAATTTTTTAAAAAAAGATAAGTGACCAAGTCACCACAGCATGGATTTGTTTGTCCTGCTCGGGATCAGGCAGCAGAGCTGTGACCACCAACGACGATGTATGAATCAGGTGATGCTTGTGTGTTTGCAAAACTAGCTTAATGAAAAAGACTGGCTCTTTTCCTAATCCTACAGACAACACGGGGCATTTACACAAAAGATAGCAGGTTCAGCTCAGTGAGTATGACAGGTAACTAATTACAAGTAAGTTTGAAACTGACAGTGTAAAACACAAACATAAAATTATACGCCACATCCACATGCACAAATGTAACTTCGGCAACGTTACGTTTTATAAGTTAACTCACCGGCAGAGACTGCGCTGGTCCACCTGGGTCCACTTGGTCATTTTCTCTCATTGTCCTGGGAGCACAACACTAACGTAAGAGAAACCAAAGGCAGCAGCAAGTTACACACAGCATGCAAACTTCAGACATGAATGTGAGGACACCACAACAACCAAAGGAATAAAAACTAAATTTGATTAAAGACTACTTTCACATTGCAAGAATTTTAGAAGACTTCAACAGTACGATGAACATGAAGTTAAATATTCATATTGTAAACAGTAAGATTTGACAATTTATATCAAGAACCTAGGAAAGTTGCTCATAGCCTTTCAGGTTAGTTACACTTCTGGGGATCCAATCTCAGAAAATAACTTAAATGTAAGCAATGATCTGTGTGTAAAAACCTTTACTAAAGTGATGCTGTACATCAAGCATGTCAAACTCAAAGGCTAACATGGGCCAAATAAACAAGGTTTAAGTTTGTGTGGCCACAAAAAAGCAAAAGCTTCAATTTTCATAGAAACGTAGGTTTATTTCGATAGAGAATGCTGAATACAAAGGGCTGAAATAAATGGGTCGTCGTTAACTGAAAATAACAGAACATTTTAATAAAAATATTTTTTTCTTGAACATTAACTTACCAGATACTGAATAACTGCACAAATTAATAAGCGTAACACAAATAAACCTACTTTTCTTGTTCTCCAAAAGCAAAATATTCCCTGTTGCGCACACCAAACAAGTCAGTACAAGACTAATGACGTGGCAACCGGCTGCTAAAATATCCACTGCTAGTATTAGTGGAGAGAAATGGTGCGCCTGCACATAAGGGAAATGAATGCAGCATGTTTATAGTAATCAGTCATTAGCGAACGTCACAGTTCATTATTAATAATCCTATATAATAAAAGCCTAATATGCTAAGTGTCCAGTAGTCTGTTCAACCAATCGAAGTGTAATATGCTAATGATATGCAAAGGCTGCTCAAAGGCCAGGCCGAGGGACCCCACTGGTGCACGAATTCATGCACCAGGCCTCTAGTCCTACATAATAAAAGGCTAATATGCAAATTGACCGAACAGCAGAACAACTGGTTGCTATGATGCGCAATGACTACCAGGGGGCAGGCGCTCAATGCAGGAGCTGCCCCCTGGTGGTCAGTGCGCTCCCACAGGCAGTGCCACTCAGCCAGAATCAAGGCTGGCAGAGCACAGCGGCAGTGGTGGGAGCCTCTCTTGCCTCCGCAGCAGCGCTAAGGATGTCTGACTGCTGGCTTAGGCCCACTCCCCGAGTCAGTCGGACATCCCATCCCCCGAGGGCTCCCAGACTGGGAGAGGGCACAGGCCGGGCTGAGGGATTCCCCCCAAGCGCACGAATTTTGTGCACCAGGCCTGTTATGTATAACAGGATATTGTAAAAATTAAGTTAGGAAATTTTTATTAAAACACTTCTTATATAAATAACCTGTGAAAGACATTTATGGCACTGGCCAGGTAGCTCAGTTGGTTAGAGCACTGTCCTGATACGCCTAGGTTTGGGGTTCAATCTCAGGTCAGGACACATACATGGATAAGTGGAACAACAAATCATTTCTCTCTCTCCAAAATCAATCAATTAAAAATAAAATAAAAATTCTGTTTAAAGGAAGATGTTTTTAAAGTCTTTAATAATGTGAGGATGAAAAGGATATAAAACTATTTGTACACATCAATCTAACCATATTTTTAAAAACAGGCCCCCCAAAAGCTGGAAATGTTAATAATTATCTCTGTATTTTAAAAAGGGAGGAAAATCAAGATGAAAAGAAGAAGACCAACAACATGGAAACCAGAGTAAAATACACAACGGGGGAAGTGGGACATTTCCCCTTTGTCCTCGCTGTCTGCGGGAAGAGCAGTGCCCTGTAATGAAGGGACTGTCCTCTGGGGGTGCCAGGGTCCGCACAAGCGCTGATCTGGAGGACTGCCTCCAGAACTCCCACCCGTCCTGGCTGTGCTGGTGTTTCTATGTTCCTGCCACGGTTCCCATGGTAGTACTTTGGCTTCGGCGGACGTTTTACATTTGAGCGAAGTACAGTGTCACTCGACATGTCAGACACTGAGCAAACTAACTCAAGGTCAGATCTCACGTCATTTCTTTCAATAACACCACGTCCTTGTGAAGCTGGGTTTTAGGAAATAGCTGTGATAAAATCAGCTCCCATGCGGGAATCAATGTGGAGCAAGAAATCTAATCTGGGCCCTGACTGGTTTGGCTCAGTGGATAGAGCAGCCGTGGGCAAACTACGGCCCGTTTGAAATGAATAAAACTGAAAAAAAAAAAAAAAAAGACCGTACCCTTTTATGTAATGATGTTTACTTTGAATTTATATTAGTTCACACAAACACTCCATCCATGCTTTTGTTCCGGCCCTCCGGTCCAGTTTAAGACCCCACTGTGGCCCTCGAGTCAAAAAGTTTGCCCACCCCTGGGATAGAGCGTCGGCCTGCGGACTGAAGGGTCCCAGGTTAGATTCCAGTCAAGGGCACGTACCTGGGTTGTGGGCACATCCCCAGTAGGGGGTGTGCAGGAGGCGGCTGATCCATGTTTCTCTCATCGATGTTTCTAACTCTCTGTCTCTCTCTCCCTTCCTCGCTGTAAAAAATCAATGAACTATATTTTTAAAAAATAAAATAAAATAAAATATGGTGACAGAAAAAGTAGCGTACCAGTTGGGAATCCTGGCTCAGAGGAGGAAACGGAGGACCGGCTGGCGAAACGACGACAGTCAACGGCTTCCCGGCTGAAGAGACAAAGCCCAGTGATTTTATTCAGCACACACAGCAGTGCCCTGACATTCTCTTAGAACTTATTTCTAAAACCGAATGAAACAAGGAATAAAATTTAAATTGTAAGATGTGGCCAGGTCTTGATAACTGTTAAAAAACCTTCAATGATCTCCTATGCCCAGTGGGCCAGGCACTGGACAAACAGTGTGACAGACAAGGTCCCTCAAAAAGGGAGGGGCACAGGAAATAAACAAACCCGGCCAAGCCAGACTGAGACACAAAGGTCCCCACCAATGAAGAATGAGAGCGGTGTAGACAGGACGATGGGAAGACCCCTCATGGGGAGTAACACTGCAGCTGGGACCGAAGACAAGGAAACACGAGCGGTGCAGGTGGGTTTCTGCTTAAAAACAGATTTTTCTTCTAAAAACGTCCATACTCAACCACCTCAATTTCTACGAAACGCACCAAGAAGACTATCATTTTAAAGTGCTTATCACTGTAAAATAAAAACTCATAGCTGTAACTTCATTTTTAGCCATTTGTTTCATTATTTTCCTGTTGAAAACAATAAATGAAACAAAAACAACTGGATTTTAGAACTTGAAGCTATTTACTTAAAGAGCTTTAACAAGGAACTGGACACCCAGCTGGTGTGGCTCAGCTGGCTGAGTGTTGTCCTGTGCACCAAAAGGCTGCCAGTTCCACTCCCAGTCAGGGCACAGGCCTGGGTTTCGGGTTTGATTCCTGGTCAGGGCTCAAGCAGAAAGGCAACCGATTAATGTCTCTCTCCCCCATCCACGTCTCTCTCTCTCAGCATGTCCTCAGGTGAGGATTTTTAGAAGGCACCTGGGTAAAAGCTGGTTTTCCTTTACCACTTTCACCAGGGAACAAATTCTAAATTAGCATTTGACTTCCTGTTTCAGCGCTTCTACTGTAAACCGCGTCCTCCTGGTCTACTTAGTGCCACGTTTTCCAATTTTGTCATAAAGCTGTTGGCTATGACTTCGATGTTAATGAATCAACTACATAAATTGCAGGGTCCTTAACACACTAACACAGGACTTTGTATTTATGGGTTCATGACAATGGTCTGACCTGAGGTCTGAAGGAGCCTAATCCTGTATTTCCCCTGAAAGCTATGGCTCATCGTGTTTGCGGTGACTTTATGTAACAGAACTACTGCAAATAAAGTGAATGTCTGGAACGCTCTTTTCCACCTTGATGAGGAAAAAAGAGATTTCCCAAAATTAATTCTAAAATTCTTAAATCTTCATAGTAGGAATGTGTATCCTTATGGTATTGTATAATTTTAACTACCCATATTTATTTTTCAGACTTTTTCTTTAATTTTTTAGAAAATAAACTGTAATGATCATCATCAAATTTAACTACATTTTAAAGAAACATTTAGCAGTTATAATAATTTATTCCTATTTTTCTCAGGAATTCCTTGAACTAGTCAACTAAGAGTTTAATTTTAACTTTTCTTTGAGTATTGTACATTATTCATTCACACTCAGGTGTACATAATATTTACTGTATTTACTAATGTTCTGTGTTATTTCTTTTTACAAATACTATTGGCAACATACCATAAGCAAAGTAAAAAGAGCAATGATATCCTGGAAGAAAATATCTACAGCATATATCACAGGTAATGGGCTAATACATAATATATCAAGAGCATGTATAAATCAACAAGAATAAAAACCACTATTAAAAATCTGACAAGGGGTAAGACATGAAAATATATATACAAATGCTGGAAAGTGGATCCATTCCCTGCGGTAATAGCAATACAAACGTAAACGCAGTGAAATGCTGCTTCTCACCACGAGGCTGGCGAGGCCGTGGGGAAAAGGCTGCCACACTTGCCGGTGGGTGAGAAATGGTGACTGTGCAGTATGTACAGACATTTCCACCCGCAGCCCCACTGCTACATATTCGCATACTTCCAACAATACGCAGAAAGCCCACACACTCATACGGACACATAAGGTGACTGTCACGTTACTTGTGACATTAAACACCAGAGACTGGGTGCATCGATGGCCCGTCCACAGGAGCCTCAGAGCTGTAACCAGAACGAGGCCTGTGCATGCGTGACCTCCAGGAGGCACTGCCAGGTGAGAAGCAAGGCGCTAACGAGTACAGAGCGTGGCGCCCTCTGCTGAACAAGGGACAGCAGATCCTTGTGGAGCTGTCTGTTTGCAAAAGGAAGCACGGGCAGAACCGGTGTGGCTCAGTGGACAGAGCATCGGCCTGTGGACTGAAGGGTCCCAGGTTCGATTCCGGTCAAGGGCACGTGGACCTCGGCTGCAGGCATATCCCCAGTAGGGCGTGTGCAGGAGGCAGCTGATCGATCTCTCTCATCGATGTTTCTAACTCCCTATCCCTCTCCCTTCTTCTCTGTAAAAGATCAATAAAATACATTTTAAAAAAAGGAAGCACGGGTGTGACACAGCGGCCGCTACAGCAGCAGGACGGGAGGGGGAGGCCTAAGGCAGGAGCACACGCCTGCACATGGCTTTGACTTTTGAACCAGGTCAGCATTTTACATAGAAATAAACACAAACCAACAAGCATGGCCAAAAAAGCCGGATGAACTATATTTATACTGAATAATATAATCGCCCGGAAGAGAAAAAAGTAACCCAGTAACTACTGAACATAATACTCAGCTCTATACTCACAGGAGATAGTCTAAAAACAAAAAACCGCACAGGATTCAGTGCTGCGGTGACACGGGTGTGGCGATCTGGGACTGTGTGGTGTGGATCGTGGAAGGAACGGACTGACGTGGTAGGGAACCTGGCCTTTCCTCACGGCGGGAACAAAGGAGCACATTACGGAATGGAGGGGAGAGAGCCCTAAGGAGTGGAGGTGGAACCAGAGATAATCACTGTAACCTCACGACTTTCTAAAAAACAGCAGCTCCTAGCACATGTCCAAAACTGTATGTCAGGACTGGCCCATAAAACACACGTTTGCTTACATGTGTCTTCAGACGTGCGGAGGACACTCTGGCGGAAACCACACTGAGTGGGCTGAGGGAGTGTCAAAGGAAGGAGACTTCCTTTTCACATCTTAGCCTCTATTGCAGTGGTTCTCAACCTTCCTGATGCCACGACCCTTTAATACAGCTCCTCATGTTGTGGGGACCCCCAACCATAACATTATTTTCGTTGCTACTTCATAACTGCAATTTTGCTACTGTTATGAATCATCATGCAAATATCTGATCAGCAGGATGTATTTTCATTGTTACAAGTTGAACATAATTAAAGCATAGTGATGAATCACAAAAACAACATGTAATTACATATGTGTTTTTCCGATGGTCTTAGGCGACCCCTGTGAAAGGGTCGTTCGACCCCAAAACGGGTCGCGACCCACAGGTTGAGAACCCACAGGTGGAGACCCGCTGCTCTACTGGAGCGGCTGCCCCAGGACAGGCACTGCCCATCTGAACACATGTAATCCCTAACGTCGCCTCCAGAGCAGGGGTCTCCTCATCCTGAAGCTCTAGAGAACAATCCAAAACAGACAGGCATCCTAACCTTCAGGGCTGCTCTCGGGCTGCGTCTCCGGGGCTGCTTGTTGTTTCAAGGCAGGACTCTTCTTTCTCAGCATTTCCAAGCCTTCTAAAGCTGTACTGTGTTCAGACAGTGACTTTAAAAGGGAAATACTGTTTACTAATCCAGAGAGTTCTGGAGAATTCCTAGGACGATTCCAGGACTGTCTGCTTGCTCCAGCAGCATCTACTTCAACATGGTCATGGGATAAACTCGGAATCCCTCCCAAATCTTCAGATTCAGCAATATGTGCTCCTGTGTCTCTGGAAACAGGATGCTTTCCCCCCAGAGGGTAAAACAAAGAACTGGAAACTTGGGGGGCTGATTTATCAAGAGCAATACATTCGTCAAGGTGACTCTGACTGGCATTTAATCGTTGGTGACTGTCGTCACTGCCAGAGGCTGACGGTAAAACCTGTTCATCGTTTGTATCTAAGTCACATCCCATAAAAAAAGGCCGAGGTGGTGTCTGTTCTGAAAATAGGTTGCTTTCAGGAGTCTGATTAGTGTCTATGTCTAAAAAATGAGGAATATATAAATTTGAATTTATGCCTTTAGATTTATCTGGGAGTGAAGCAAAATCACAGTCACTTCTGACTTTGTGGGTAGGGCTATTGGCAGCTTCCTTACCTGCATCCACATCACCGGTCCACCCTACAGTGCAGGCACTGCACCCCGCGGCTTCATCCCCAGTGGGTGCAGCTGTCCCACAAAGCTGTGGCGGCAGGGTCTCTGGGGGAGGAAACGGCTCTATAGGTTTACCCCCAATAGGCGTTAAGAGAGGCAAGGGTGCACCGCCACCCTCCTCACAGGGCACACCCTCACATCGCCTCTGAACCCCTGAACTGCAGGCATCAGCCAAGGCCTCCCTTTCCCAATCCTCTGGGTCCTGGGACATTTTGTTGCTTTCCTGGAGTTCCTCTTCCGTGTCACTGGTTTCAAAATTGTTCAGATTAAAATTTACCTCCAAAACTGGCTGTGTCACATGACTCACAGGTCCATGAATACTAAAACTTTCACTGTCAGTATTCGTCCTAGAAAACATGTCAGTGACGGCTTCAGAGATCTGAGAGTTGTCACTCAGTGAAGATTCAAACTGCAGACGCTCAGATGCCGGCAGGTGAGACTCTGCTTGTTTACACGCCCTTTCTGGCGTCCCACAGGTATCTGTCTCCTGAGCATTTTCTGTAGGAACGGATCCTCTTACGCACACCTGGTCATTCCGATTAACGGGCATTGGAATACTTCCTTGCATGTCGGACCCTGACACTAAGCCATCCTTTCCCAAATCGCCACAGGTAACGGATAAGCTTTCACCGAATGAAGGAATTTCTAATTTTACCTCCCGATCCCAGGATGAATCGGCATTGTCTACCAGCTTGTCTCCATTAAACTTTTCCACATTTTCAGCACCCGTTTCGAATAACTGGATCCTTTTTTGTTCCAAAAAGTCTCTCAGATTTAAACTGAGGTCATCTCCCTGAGCCTGGGGCTCCCTTTCCAGCTCATCTCCAGCTACAGCAGAAGAACGAGCAGGCGAAGGCTGTGGGGATAAGTACACAGCCCACCGGCTGTCCCTGCTCGCGGGGCTTTCTGGGGGTCGCCGGCACTGTAAGCTCTCTGTTCTCCCCGCAGCACACGCTCCCTGTTCAACGAAGCACTTTGGTGTAGTGGGAATGTGTAAGCTTCCTTGTGGTTGTGCTCGAGGGACATGGGCTGACATCTCAGCATCCACTTCCTCAGACACACTGGCTGGCGTGGACTTCAGAAGAGCTAGGATCTGTGCTTTGCTCCTGATGTTTTGTGTGACTCCTAAACAGCGAGGTGCCCAGCGATGTCCTTTCGTGGGCTCGTCAGGCAGGAAAGAAACGGCGGCCTTGACTGCAGAACTGACAGGCGAGCAAAGATGGCCCTCCTCCCTCAGCCTCTCGGGGTTACTCCTGGAGGAGGGGGCAGAGCCGACGGGAAAGCCCGGCGGGCCACTCCTCCCGTCCTGGCGGACGACAATGTTCCTGAGGTCTGCTGGCACGCTGCTGACTTCTTTCCTGCCAGCAGCAGCAAACAGAGGAGGCGTGCTCGAGAACGGAGCGAGGAGAGCAGGGCCAGGGGCTGCAGCCTCAAGTGACGCGGCTGACTCGCCATTTTCCATAATAACCATTTTCTTTGGCACTTGCCGTGGTCCTTGAAAACCCTAAAAATAATAAAACAATTATTAGCTGTTCTATTGCCTATAAAGAAAATGTGAAATGTACTGGCTGGGAAAGAAAGAAGGAAAGAAAAATGAATGTGTATGTTTTGTAAGGTAAAGTAATAATTAACATATAAAATTCACAAAGTTGAAATGTAAACTCATTTTTATTAAGATTTTTCCTAATTAGGGTTTACTTTCTACCTAAGCACATACTATAAAGTACCACATTAATGAGATTAAAACAACTTCAAAATTCACGACTTCTTGAAATGAAATACAGGTATATATTGACTCATTATTCTCACAGAGACACTTACAGGAAACTTCCTTTTCAAACCGGCGGGCTGACACCCGAGGGACCGGCCGCAGGGCATGGCCCGCGGTGGACGGGACCCTCGTGCCTCCTGAATGTCCTCCTGGCTGGCAGCGGTGCTCCCAGCAGCTCTAGCCTCCTCCACTGTGATTAAGTACCGCTCACTTTCTAAGCCGTCTCCAGGCTTTACCTAGACGTTAAAGAGTGGAAGTCAGAGTCACACACCCCGTTACCGGATGGCCAATGCGTTCCTGTAAGCTTACAGCACTAGCAACACGCAACGGATATTCAACAGTTATTGAGTGGATCAATCAGTAACAAATTCCTTATATATCATGTACTAGTTAAGTACCAACATACACAAAAAAGAATAATACAATAAAAGTTTCACTAACTCATTTACTCAACAAACATATTGGGGACCTAGGTGAGATGCTTTGTTATTTGCTGGGGATTCACACAGAAGCAAAAACCTCTTTTAGAATCCATACAACTAAATGTAATTTTTAAAAATTAGAGCTATTGCCAAAACCAGTTTGGCTCAGTGGGTAGAGCGTCGGCCTGAGGACTGAAGGGTCCCAGGTTCGATTCCAGTCAAGGGCATGTACCTGGGTTGCGGGCACATCCCCAATAGGAGATGTGCAGGAGGCAGCTGATCGATGTTTCTCTCTCATCGATGTTCCTAACTCTCTCTATCTCTCTCCCTTCCTCTCTGTAAAAAATCAATAAAATATATTTAAAAAAAAAAATTAGAGCTATTAAATGTCAATTATATATCTTTAAATATCACAAATTAAATACTATTATAAATTAGTAGTTGCTTAAATAATTGTATTCCCCAAAAAGCATCTTAACCAGCTAAGTATAGCGCTTGCCACCATCTCGGACTGCAGCATAAAAAAAATCAACCTAATTGATAAAAATCTGTGTATTATCACAGAGAATGTGCTTAATTAGTTAAATTATTCTCAATGAAATAATAACAGTTACCACCAATGAATCACCTATTAAAACAGTGCTTATAGACCCTCTTTTGATAAAGATAGAAATACCACACGCACTATTAGTGTCATGTAAAATTTACAAGTAGATTTAATACCATGGCCCAAACCAGCACAATGACAAGATGCATCCTAACCCTTCAGTCACTGCACTAACGGCTGGGCATCTTCCCAGGGCGCAGCCCCGCCCAGCCCAGCGTCTGCCCAGCCTGGGTGTCACAGCAGAGTCAGACGCATGGCTGAGCTGCACAGGAGGGGGAAATGACCCGGAAAGCACAACCCGTTATCCTTACTCATTACACTAAAAATGCCTTTAGTTCCCCTCCCTTCTCCTCCAACAGGGGAAAACACAGGAACAATGCATGAGACAAGATTTTAAGTAGGAATAATTCCACAAAACAGTTCCCACTGTGGTTCTCTGCCTACCAAAACCACATCATAGAGCCGGACTAGAGGCACGCCTGGGCCCACCCCAGCCCCACCACGGCCACGCAAATGTGGGCACGCTACCTAAGCTTCAGTGCGGCACGCCTAACGCGCAACCACAGGGCTACATAAACATCAAATCAGACAACATCTAAAAGCTTTTAGCACAGAATCTGGCTAATAATAAGTGCTGAGGAAACACTCGCTGTAATTATTAGTATTAGTGTCTTGACTATACTTTTTAACATTCGTAAAAAAATACTTAAAGAGCCCTAACCGGTTTGGCTCAGTGGATAGAGCGTCGGCCTGCGGACTGAAAGGTCCCGGGTTCGATTCCGGTCAAGGGCATGTGCCTTGGTTGCGGGCACATCCCCAGTAGGAGGTGTGCAGGAGGCAGCTAGTCAATGTTTCTCTCTCATCAATGTTTCTAACTCTATCCCTCTCCCTTCCTCTCTGTAAAAAAGTCAATAAAATATATTTTAAAAAAAAATTCTTAAAGAGATACCTTAAAACAATACTTAAAAATGCGGTAGACACCCCCTGGCCAGGCAGCTCAGATGGTTAGAGCACTGTCCTGATCCACCACAGCTTTGCGGGCAATCCCCCGTCAGGGCACATGCAACAATCAACCAAAGAATGCATGAATGGTGGAACAACAGACCAACATTCTCTCTCCCTCTCTCACTCCCTTCTCTCTAAAATCAACAAGTAAAAATTAAAAAATAAGACAGACACATTAAAATACCTCAAGGCGGGTCAGAAATAAGCTCTCCAAGCGTTCTCCTTTGTCATCATATAAAATCGCCTATATTAAAACAAAATAAATGTTAAAACGGGGCACAACATAATTCTGCTTTTCTTAAACATCTTCAATAGAAAATCTAAGACTGTTCTGTAAGTAAACCATGTAAGGAAAGGATCGCCCAGCCAGTGTGGCTCAGTGGTTGTCGACATGTGACCCAGGTCACCGTTCGATTCCCGGTCAGGGCACAGGCCCGGGTTGTGGGCTCCAACCCCAGTGTGGGGGCGTGTGGGAAGCAGCAGGAAAGGACCGCCCACTTTGTTAACGTGGATGATGAAGTGTGTCTGTCTCCAATGTCACTCGCTCTGCGAAGAGAGCTTCGAAGGCACACGAGAAACTAAAGTTAGTCCCCGCCCTGACCTTGGGGTGGAGCTGGGCGGCACCCAGACGGGGCGTGTGAAGACTGCTGCGGTCGGGGGGATCAGGGCGAGGACAGGGCGTGCAGGACGTCACTGTGCGTGAGGTCCTCACAGAGCCTGGGCACGGGGACAGGGGACGCGGGAGCCAGGAGACTGCTCCTGTGTCTCTGTAGCCACTCGCAGCAGTCCCTCCACTAGCCCTTTCAGTATCGCTGTTCCCATCATTGGGGAGTTTGGCAGTTCCTTAACAATTGAACGCAGAGGGACCCACACCCAGCAATTCCACGCCTGGGCAGTAGAGAAACGAAAAACATGTTTTCAAAAGCTTGCACACAGATGTTCACACCACATTATTCCTAACAGCCAAACCGAGGAAACAGCTCAGACGTCTGTCAGCTGACGAGGGGATAAGGAAAGTGTGGGAAATCCACACACCAGAACATTACTCAGCCAGAAAGAGGAATAAAGCACCGATACACGGTCAACACGGACGGACACTGAGGCATGGCATCACAAGAAGCTGGCAGAGGCCCGCAGGGTCTGGGACGGCAGTCACGTGACAGGCGGAACAGGCACAGCTCCCGGCAGCGAGCAGGTCAGTGGCTGCTGAGGGCTGGGTGTTATATCCTGGTGATTGCAAAGCTCTGTGGATACACTAAGACCCACTGAACTGTGTGCTCTAAATGGGTGAATTGAAAGTGTGTGGCCCGGCCAGTGCGGCTCAATGGTTGTCGACCTAGGAACCAGGAGGTCACAGTTCGACTCCCGGTCGGGGCACATGCCCAGGCTGTGGGCTCGATCCCTAGTGTGGGGCGTGCAGGAGGCAGCCGGTCCATGATCCTCTCTCTCATTCTTTCTATCTCGCTCTCTACCTCTCCTTCTGTTCTGAAATCAGTAATTTTTTTAAAAAGTGTGTGAATTGTATGTCAGAAAAGCTGTTGAAAAGCGGGTGTCTCCAAGGGCTCTCCTCTCCCCTCCGCAGCCTGTGCCCCACCCTGAGCATCATCTTCCACACAGATCACACGGCGTCAGTCTCTGCTCAGCCCTCCTCGGTCGCCACAGCCCCACAGAATGAGAGCAGCAGTCCTCACAGCGACCAGGGAGGCCCCAGGGCCCTTCTGTGTCCACCTCACCCTTGCTCCCCTCCTCCCGGTGGTCTGCCTAACCCACTGGACATGCTGGTCCGTCTCCTCCATGTGACTGCCACGAAGCCAGGGGTTTATCTTTGTTCCCTGCGGCATCCCTCGGAACAGTGTGTAACTCAGAACAGACGCTCAAAAACTGTGGAATAAATGAACCCATGAATCCACTCCAGGAGCTGCAAGCAGCACCCAAAAGCCACGCACGCCCTTCAGCAGCCCGGACGCTCCTGAGTCCAGGTCCCCACGCCGGTCACCTGACTGTCTCCACGACCTGAAACTCAGTGCGTTCAGACGGAGCCCAGCCTCCGAGTTCCCTCCGAGCTGGCGTTCTTTCTGGAGATGCCCTGACGAGTACGTCAATCGTACGGAAACCGGGAGCTGATTTTGGAGCCTCCTCACCTTCCGTATCGAGACCTTAAGATTCTATGCTCTTTTCCTAACGTCTCACTAGTCACCCCTCTCACTTAGTCAGACCCCATCACTCTGTGTCCATATTACTGCTGTCCCTTCACGACAACTGTCTCCCTAAGTCCAATCTGACTTGCATCCTTCAGAACTTAAAGGTTCTGTCTGACACTGTTGCCAAAATAATTTCCTGACATGGAACATGGCTGTCACCCTTCTGCTCAGTCCTCCCTGCTCCTCGAGCTGCGCTCTCCGTCCATCACGATGTGGCTGCTGCCACTGCCCCACACGGGCCTCACTCCAGCCACAACCGGTGCCTGTAGCCCTCACCTTGCCTACCGTTCTCTACCTCGTGTTGCAGCTACGGCCCATCTACGGCCCCTCTTCCCACAACCTACCAAAGCAAACGCTTCATGGGGAAAGACTCCTAACCAGAGTGAGAGTTTGATGTCCGTCCTTCGTTATCAGAGCCCTGGACCTATACCTGTACCGAGTATGATCCTCATGCTTAGACAAAAGCCCCTCACGACAGAAACTGCAGCAACAGTCACCATCCGACGCCTGACAGAGACGCCTGCTGACAGCGAGCCAGGTGGCGTGCCAGAGGTCTACATGCTCCTCGTTTAACCCTCGGGACAAGGTCACAGTGTCACTGCCCCCATTCAGAAAGACACTAGAGGCCTGGAGGCTAAGTAACCTGCCCGGGTTACACGCCCACCAGGCGGAGAGCCGGCCGCCAGCGAGGCCTGCCTGGCAGGACAGCTCTCCACGCCGACTCCACGGCTGACCTCACTGCCCCACCGCCCACCAGCAATGCTTGTTGGGTGACGGCGCCATTAATGGAGACGGTAAGATCTGGACAGACAGAGAAAAGGCATTACGAGCGCAAGAGAAGCAGGGGAAGCAGCGGGCGAGGAGAGACTGAGGTCGGTAACGTTCCTGGGCCAGAGATCTCTGGTGCTGCCTCACATCCATCTTGTTTTCCTATCACCTTCCAGTGTGAGGTGTACAATGCACACAATAAACACGTGACAACTGAAGATAAAGTGGACACCGCTAGCCGGACCTTAGTACTATGATTTTGTATCACAAGAAGACGTGATGGATACTCAGAATCCAATCAGATGCCTTCTATATATATAAAAGGCTAGGTGACCGACCGTCCGGTACATATGACACGCACTGGCAACTTAAAAATAAACGCTGACTCGCACATGTGTGATACGTGAAAGCTCTCGCTGGCGCCCATCGCACGCATGTGCACCGATCTGTCACTGTCGGTCGTGAATTTGGTTGACACTTCTATTATAGAGAAAGGGCAGATAGTGATATTAAAATATTTCTTCTAATTAATTTCCTTTCAATGTGCACGAATCTGTGCACCGGGCCACTAGTTTTAATATAAGACTAAATCTGTAGGATTTTGAAGACTTGGCCCTAACCAAATAGGAACAATATAAAGAAAAAAAGTACACAGAATAGCATCAAACAGTGAATGAATTTATTAGTTCAAGATAAATGAATAAAAAACTGTAGGAGGGGGAAGGCTAAACATTCATCTGTTTAAATGAGAAGAATTAACCAATGTTACCCCAATAAGTTCAATTGGAAAAAGGACAATAACATGACTTGGAGGTGGAGATGTCCACTATGGGACCGGCCCTCTCCACAGGCATGGCCTCGTGCAGACTGCAGCTCCTGAAACTAAACGCAGCTTCGGTTCTGCCCTGGACGCTTTGCACTTACTTTGTTTCCTAGGTGAGCGATCTTCAAAGTTCCATCTTGCCACACTTTTGACTTCTTCGCCTTTTGATGAGTATACAGTACCTATTTCCAAAAGCACAAAGTGAAGAAATGGTTTCTATATATGTATGTTAAACGTTACGTATTTTATACCCTTCTACCAAAAAATATACTTAGGACATCTTTTACCAATATAAAAGCACAGATAGCATAACAATAACAAAATAAACCCATTTAAGAAAAAAGAAACTAGGCAGCAAAAGGCAAGGGGGTGGAGAAAGGAGAAGTAAATTCTAAATAAAAACTGAAGTTAACTGGTAACAAACGTAATTTTGAGCTTCTTGTCATCAGCGGGAACGGGAAATGTGCTGGTTACACAGCACACATGATCTGTGCAGAGCCGCCTGGAGGTCCCCAAGACTTCCCAGGGCTCTGAGGTCAGGACTATCTTCATGAAGCTACTTGCCTCCTCCCTCTCCTTCCTTCCGGGAAGCACAGTGGAGTTAAGTGCAGGTTATTTATGTGCAACAGTGTAAGATTCAATTTCCGATTGCATGCAGAAGCAGAGCTGAGAATTAAATCCAATGTCAAAGGGACATGCAAAATATGTACATCAATGCTATTCTTGTCAATGTTTCTTTGTTATTGTTTTTGGAAAATGTAGCTATTTTCTTTAAAAATGTAATTTACGGCCGGAACCGGTTTGGCTCAGTGGATAGAGCGTCGGCCTGCGGACTGAAGGGTCCCAGGTTCGATTCCGGTCAAGGGCATGTACCTGGGTTGCGGGCACATCCCCGGTGGGAGATGTGCAGGAGGCAGCTGATCGATGTTTCTAACTCTCTGTCTCTCTCCCTTCTTCTCTGTAAAAAATCAATAAAATATTTTTTTAAAAATGTAATTTACGTTAAATGTAATGAGTTTATTATTTTTAGTAAATACGTATGTTTAAAATTTTGTTATAATTTCTAATATGAAAGACATCACTATAAGCCCCATAATCAAAAATTCTTAGGGTCCTCAATAGTTTTCAAGAGTAGGAAAGGATCCTGAGACCAAACAATGTAAGATCACGGATGCACCTAAAAGAGGCACGTCCGTTCTTCAAGAGAGACTGTCCCCTGGTCCCAAGCTCCCTGAGATTTTGTTCCAAAGGACTTTGTATAACAATGTGAACAGGCGACAAGAGGTGGGGCTGCCAGTTAAAATCCAGGGCAACGCTTGAGACAGACACGCTCATACTAAAAACTTTCACTGTTTATCTAAAATCCAAATGTAACTGCATGTCCTGCTTTTAGGTTTGGGGTTTTGGGGGGTTGTTTGTTTTGGGGTTTTTTGTTTGTTTTTTCTCAATCTGGCAACTCTAGCAACATCTGTAAAATGTGGAAGAAAAACAAAGACTTACAATAAATTCTTGGCTTCCCATGGTTCCTTCTGAAGTTATAAACCAGTCAGGTCCAGAAATAATCAGTGGTTATTCAACCATTTAGAACACCTAAATTGAAAAATGACAAAGAATACTCAACCCTGACGAAATGAATAAGTAACAAATACAATCTTCTCACGAACTCTCGCCCCGAGAGAGGAATCAGAGCTCTACGACGCTGTAACTACCAAGGGGAACAGGTGCAGCCAAGTTACCCGGCACTGGGACCCGCCCGGTCAGTGACGCCGCCGTGGGAAAGGGAGGTGTCGGGTAAGAGGAAGGAAGCAGGGTGTGTGATGATTAGCAGTCGGCACCAGCTCTCCCAGTGCCGCACCACCTACCAGAAATGATGCCTGCCCCAGGCTGGGTCCCTGCTGGAAGGAGCTTGGATTCTTGGCTTCTGAATTGCTATGGTCACAAGAGGGCCCCCCTGTTTTTTACATTTTTCCTTTTACATCGTACAGTCGGATCTACATAATTCCTCTGCAAGGAAAAGATCTTTTCAATGTCGTGGCAACGGGTTCTGTAATTATCCCAGGCCGCTGGATAAAGCTGTTATTGCGGGCAAATTTGGAAATCTAAAGCCATTGCTGGCGAAGAAGTAAATAGAGACGATAAAATAAAATTATATGTTCCCTAAAGCCTTGGCTGCAAGCCATGACCCCTGGGCCATCAGCATCAGCTGGAAACTAGTCAGAAATTAAAATCCTTGGTTCCACCAAGACTTACTACACAGGAGGTGGGGTCAGGGCCCCACAGTCTTTCGAGGAGCCCTGGGGGGGTGAGTGATGCTGGAGTCTGAGCACCGCCCGAGAAGCCCTGGGAGGGCTCAGTAAGGCTGCGATCTGCAATTCTGGGTTCCATTTCTCGTTCACACGTGTAAAACAGACCACCTGCGTGTTACTTATACATTAGATACATTTACTTAGCTCTTCCCAGGTGCCAGACTCAAATGCACAAAACACCATCCCTAACCTCAAGGAATGCTCAGTGCCGTGGAGTGATGAGCAGTAATTACAATAAAATGTAACAGGAACAGCCCAGCCGGCGTGGCTCCTGGTCAGGCACGAGCCCGGGCTGCGGGCTAGATCCCCCCCTGTGGGGCGTGGGAGGTCCCAGGTTCGATGCCGGCCAAGGGCATGTGCTGGGTTGCGGGCTCCATCCCCACTAGGGAGCCAATCAATGATTCTCTCTCATCGTTGGTGTTTCTATCTCTCCTTCTCCCTTCCTCTCTGAAATCATTAGAGAAATCTATTTTTTTTAAAAAAAATTTTTTAAGTGGCCCTGGCCGGTGTGGCTCAGTGGATAGAGCGTCGGCCCGCGGACGGAAGGGTCCCGGGTTCGATTCCGGGCTAAGGGCACGGCCCGGGCTGCGGGCTCAGTCCCCACTGCGGGGCGTGCAAGAGGCAGCCGATGCATGGTTCTCAACACTGATCTTTCTCTCTCCCTCTCTGAAATAAATAAAAACGTATTTAAAGATAAACAAATAAATAAATACATCAATGTGACAGGGATGAGCGCAGGGGCCAGGGCGCCAAACAAGGCTCCTGGAACGCGCGGCCGATCGGCAGGCGGCACCCCCAGCGGCCAGGGCGGGTGCGGGCGGGGCCTCCGAACAGGAACCCACCGCACAGGCCCGCGAGGCCCGCAGGCGGGATGGGGTGCGGGGACTCCCCTCCCGGGGCAGCGTCAGGGCCCAGGGTGAGACGGCGGCGAGGGGAGGCTGTGAACGCGAGGAATGGCCGCAGGACTCGCGCGGCCGCACTTCCCCTCGAGGACGGCAGGCGGCGCGCCAGGGCTTTCGGCTGGTGGCCGTCCGTCTGACTCAGGGTTCAGGGGTTCACAGCTGCTCGGGGCGGGCGAGCGGGACACACACCGGCTCCGCCGCACGGCTCCCGGCACAAAACGCAGGCCTTTGGGCAACGCGACCCCGCGGCCTGCGCACTACGGGGGCTTAAAGGGGGGCGCCGGGAGGCCTCCGCAGGCCCCGTCCACCCGCACCTGCTGCCGGGCGATTCCGGGGCGCCCCCGCCAAGAGGTTCCAAAGGAGTGGGGACCCCCACGTTCCCGGGGGACCACACAAGTGAGCGCCATGCACGCCCACGTGGCTGTGCGCTCGGGCCAGGGCGGCCACTGTTCCCCGACCCATCAACGGCCCACGGAACCCAATGTCCTGTCCTGTCCTGTCCTGCCAGGGTGGCTCGGTGTTGAACTTCGACCTCTGAACCTGGAGGTCACGGTTGGGTTCCGGTCGGGGCACAGGCGGGGGTTGCGGGCTCCATTCCCACCGGGGGCGTGCAGGAGGCAGCCGATCCGTGACTCTCTCATCACTGATGTTTCTCTCCCTCTCCCTTCCTCGCTAAAACCAATAAGAAATATATTTTTTAAAAACCCAAAAACTACAATTAAAAAAAAAACACCACATCACAATAAGGAGAAGCCCCATTTCCTTGGCCGAGACCCTGTGTAACCGGTGACGGTGAAGACGGACCCTCCCACCTCACACATCCGGGGGCTGCAGACCCGGGGCCACCGGCCGCAGGGCGTCCTCGCCGTCCGCTCGGGGGCGGCTCTCTCGTCCCTTACCCAGGTCAGGGACGCCGCCTCGGCTCCGCGCCCTCAGTCTCGGAAAGCCGGGCACCGCTCGCCTTCCCCAAACGCGACGCAAAACCCGCTTCCAATTCTCCCGCCAAGCGCCGTGACGTCACCACCCCGGGACACCCATAGCGCCGGCCCAGCGCTCCGCTCGCGCGGCCGACTCCGCCCGCCAATCAAACTCCTCATTGGTCGCGTGCCCCGAGGCCCCGCCCCGCGAGCCGCACGACGGAGACGTAGCGACGCGCTGCGCTTCGGAGCGTCCAGGAGGCGCCCAGAGAGCCGTGTCGCGCGTCCTATGACGCGTCACAACCACGACTGTGAGACTCGGGAGACGGAGAGACGGAAAGCGCTGGAGGACGCAGGCGCTGGCCTGCATTTTGGAGACTGAACGGAGTAAGTCCCGAGGGGACGCTGGGGCCACCGAGGGGCGCGGAGGTCCGTGCGCCCTGCCGTCTGTCTCCCTCGTGCCCCGCCCCCTTCCTCTCCCCCCTCTCCCTCCTCCTACCAGCGAGCCCGTCAGTGCGCACGCGCGGAGTCGGCGCGGAGGGGCGAGGGCGGGGCACGCGGAAGTGACGCTGCGTCACGGACTGGACCCCGGGGCGCTAGGGTAACGGGAGGGAGGACCCGTGTCTTCTAACCAAGTCCTTTTTGGCCTGGGGCCTGGGCCCTTGTCCCCGTGAGCGCGGCGTGCGGGGCCGGGGCCCTCGCGCAGGGGTTTGGGGAGCCGAGGCGGGGCCGGGCCTTGGAGGTGGAGCCGCGGTGAGGAGGCGGGTCGCGCGCGCAGGGCCGGGGCTCTCGGCCTTCGAGCGCCCGGTCGCCCTGACGAACCCTCCAAGCTTATTTCCGCCTTCAGATACACCGCTTACTAGCATATTCGTGTATCTGGTTTTTAGATTTTCCTTTGAACTGGTTTTAACGCGTAACTAGTTCCCTGGCTCGTTGCTTAAAGATCTTGGACACGTGTCCATTTTGCGCGCAGGACCAGTGACCACCTTTCCATTGAAATGCGCCATGGGAGAGCCCTGGCCGGTGTGGCTCAGTGGATAGAGCGCCGGCCTGCGGACTGAAGGGTCCCCGGTTCGATTGCGGCCAAGGGCATGGACCTCGGTTGCGGGCACATCCCCAGTAGGGGGCGTGCAGGAGGCAGCTGATCAGTGTTTCTAACTCTCTCCCTCTCCCTTCCTCTCTGTAAAAAACCAATAAAATATAAAAAAAAAAAATGCACCATGGAAGACGTTCATGGGATTCCCAGGAATTCCTGAAACTCGCTCCCATTCCTGCCAGAACGCGGACTGGAGGCCTGGGGGCCGGAGGCGATGGGCGGGGGGTCCCCCAGCTCCCAGGGCTGTGGCCCCTCGCAGCCTCGGAACCTCTGTCACAGGAAGTTGGAGGAAACGGCTTGTGGGTTGTGAGCAGGTAGAATGGCCTGTGTGGACGGATGGGCGCCGTCACACAATACGGTTTATTCCTTGTTTAAAGCCGTTCGCGGTCACCGCTTCACTCATAGCTCCTGGAAAATACGTGTTCTGCTGTGAGATGGCCCGTAAAGCACTGACTCATAATCCCCCCGCCCCGCCCCATACAAAAAGAGCTTGTAATGCTTAACACTCGGCAGCTGGTCAAATCCTCTAGCATACATTGTTTAATCGTCCAGCAGACGCGTAGGTCGTGGCCAGGCTAAGGGATTCTAGTGAACGTCTTGCCGTCCAGGCCACACAGCGAGACGTGCGGGTGAGCTGCACGGACCGTCCCGGGCGGCGGTGACCGCGGCTGCGGAGAACACCGGGTGGACGTGAGAGCCGACCCCCAGGGCGCGTGGCTGGGGCGTGGGGACAGGTTGCTAAGGGATCGGCGGCGATGGTTCCGTGTCACTGAGGGTGTGCTGCGTAGCAGCAGTTGGAAGTGCTGTATGTACACCTTTTTTAACTGCATCTTTATTGATTTCAGAGAGGAAGGGAGAGAGAAACATCAGTGATGAGAGAGGATCACGGACCGGCTGCCTCCTGCACGCCCCCCACTGGGGATGGAGTCCGCAACCCGGGCCTGTGCCCTGCCCGGAATTGGACCGACGCCCTAAGCACTGAGCCAAACCCGCTAGGGCATATGTACAGTATTTCGATTAATCTTCGTAAAACCCTATTACATGGGTACGGGTTTTACCCACATCTCATAGAGCTCAGAGAGAGAAGAGGTAACGTGCTCAGAGCCCACGCAGCTAGTAAATGGTTTGGCTGATTAACTCCGTGGACTGTGGGTCCTTAACGAAGCGCAGGCCTGAGTAGCAGAGATAATGCCTTGGAACGGGTGGATGTGACAGCGCACCCACCTGCTATCCGGGATGAGAGGAGTGCTTCGGGATCAAGCAGGTCCGACTGTGACTGCTGGTCTTTCCCAGCCGTTGTGTAGGGACCGTAAATTGTACCAGGTGGTTGCCTTCTGTTTAGTCCATGGCTTCCTCTAAAGCAGTGGTTCTCAACCTTCCTAACACCGCGGCCCTTTAATACAGCTCCTCATGTTGTGGTGACCCCCAATTTCATGGTTACAAATTGAACATAATTAAAGCACAGCGATTAATCACAAAACAGTACGTAATTATAGATGTGTTTTCCCATGGTTTTAGGCGACCCCTGTGAAAGGGTCGTTGGACCCCCAAGGGGGTCGCGACCCACAGGTTGAGAACCGCTGCTCTAAAGGGAGGCCTGTTTGTTTATCTACAGAGCACACGTGCAGGCATGTTATGTACCCGGGCAAGAGTCCCCGACTTGATTCAAGCCCCGAAATGAATCCTTAGGAGGAGGAGGGCAGGCGATTCTCTGGGCTGAGATGCGAGGATGGGGGACCGTCTGGTTCCTGGGAGACTGTGACTTTCTGTCTCGGGTGGCGGCCCTGACAGCAGAGGCTTGGAGAGCTGGCTCAGGGGGACGCTCGCCCTGGGACCTGCCGTGGGGTAAGCAGGGGCTTCATTTGGATTTTATTTACAGTCCTACCCCCCCCCCCCAAAGGGTTTGTAATGCTTACACCTGACAGTTGGTAAAATCCTTTAAAATACGTTGTTTAATTATTCAGCAGACGCATAGGTTGTGGCCAAGCTCCAGTCCCTGCCCTGACAGTGTTTACCGTCTGGGGGAGACAACTGTAATTCCAGGCGGTGATCAGAGGAGACAGGATGGACGGTGGTGACGGGCTGTGCAGGGGTTGAGGTTAGCAGGGCGGGGATAGGTTAGATTTGGTCGAAGAGAACGCCTCTGAGCTGGTGACCTTTGCAGGGACCTGAGTGAACCGGGAAGTGATCCCTGTGCTGTGCGGGCCTTGAGGTGGGCGTGGCCTTCGCGGGAAGCCCCCGGTCCTGGTGGCCGCGAGTCACAGCAGGTGTCAGATGGAGTTAGGGCGACACCCCCGGGCCCCCGCAAGGGCCTTGGGTTCATTCTGAGTGTGATCACAGTCGAGGACTTGGTGCAGGAGGTGGACCTGCCCTGCTTTCCGTGCCTCGGTGCTTTTCCGGCTGCTGCTGGTGGGTCGGTGCTAATGGGGGAGGCGGGAGCAGGCCTCGGTGGGCGCCCTGCGTCGTCCAGGCAGGGCACACGC